GTAAATTAACGTTAATCAACATCAATTGTTGCGTCTACGGAAAAATATCAATAGACTTTACATTTAGTCTACAAAATTTATGGTAAAGAAAATTTTATCGTTTTTTGTCCTAAACCTAATGTTTTTGACACATTTGCAATTCAGTAGCGAAGTCGTAAAACGGTTTAAGTCGACTTATCTCCCAGTTGAGTTTGTGAGGAATATTTCCAAATCTAAAGGAGATACGAAATTTTCGTAATGACATTTGTTGTAGCTCTCAATCGGCTCTACAAAAAAGGTTATGACAAAAATTTCATTATCTCCCTTAGATTCCGAGGTATTCATTGAAAACTGGTCAATAGTAAAAATTGACTTGAACCGTTTTACCACTTCGCTACTAAATTAATTTGAGGGGTATTTTTTGAATTTTTCTTTTTTAATTTGTTATTTGGATAAAGATATTATCATTGCAAAATTTCCAAGTGCATTATTTATCTTAAGGCATCCTCATTCCCCTTAAAACTAAAAGATTAACTGTTTAACATTAAATTAACTTTGGCAATGGAGGGGAATTTATCATTCTTGCATCTTTAATTTTGAAGATTAACGTCAACTGTTGCGTGCAGAGGAAAATGTCAGAATATTTTATTGCTGATATCTTGTAATACTTGTACCACTAGTACTACCGTACTACTGCAAGATGCTTTTATTCTCGCTTCGCGAAATCTGACTTTGCGCTTATCCACGTGCATACCCCTCTTGCCTTAGACTCGAGTGGTAATTCCGGATGTGGCCACGACTTCTTTATTTTACCTCTCTAGATTAGAAATATACTATTGAGGCTTCCTCATTTTCTCGCCTCAAAAATAAAAGATTAACCGTTGTGGCTATAGTTAAATTTCAGGATATGTGATTTTCTTCTGTTCATGACGTTTTCAGGTGCGTGACTTGCCTCACCTCTTTCTTATTTTCCTTAAGCCTTGTTAAAAAAAACTTATCAATTGTTGGATCTAAAAGATTCTTATCCTATAATTAAACAATCGCGACAACAATTGAGAGAAATTTATCATTCTTGCTTCGTTAATTTTGAAATGATCATCCGAATTGAACTTTTGTATCTACAGGAAGATGTCAAAAAGCTTGTGTGATATTATCGCCTAAACCCAGTAGTTTCCGAGATATTTAAAAAAGAATTAGAAGTTTTTTTGTTGCCTCTTCTCTTTCGTATTTTCCTTATTTTCCTCAAGTCTTGTTAAAAAACTGATGAATTGTATTTTAAAAATTCTCATTTTATAATCACACAATTGACAACAATTGAGGGGAATTTATCATTCTTGCATCTTTAATTTGGAAGTCATCAGTCGAATTGAACTTTTGTACCTACGGGAAGATGTCAGAAAGTTTACATGAAATTATCACCTAAATTTAAAAAAGAATTAGAAGTTTTTTTGTTGTCTCTTCTCTCTCGTATTTTCCTCAAGTCTTATTCCAAAACTGATCAATTGTTGTATTTCAAAGATTGTTATTTTATAATCGAACAATTGACAACAATCGAGGGGAACTTATCATTCTTGCATCTTGAATTTTGAAATGATCCGATTTGAACTTTTGTATCTACGGGAAGATGTCAAAAAGTTTACGTGACATTTCTTCTAAACCTACTCCTGTCCGAAATATTTAAAAATAATTATAAGATTTTTTAAACCTTTCTTTTATTTATTCATCTCTTAATAAAGATATGACTGTCATAAAATTGCGCATGTCGTCTCATTTCATAATTAAAAAATCGATAACAATTCGAAACGAAACGTTTATAATTTAAAATTATAACATTTTTTAGAACTTTCGTTTTAAAATTTGAGCAACTGTCGCAGGTCGAAGAATCCTATGTCATAATTAGAAAATAACACCAGCAATTTCCATAAATTTACCAGTCGAATGAAGATATCATTGTCATGAGCTTTCCAAGTCAATGATTTTCCTCATTCTCCTAAAATTACCAATTCCCAAAAATATCAAATCAACCGTTGACAAACTTTCCACAAAAAATTTCCTCTGACATTATTCCGCTTTTTTTTTTCGTTTACTCATCACTTAAATAAATATATCACTGTCATTAAATTTTCAAATGCATGATTTATTTGAGCCCTTTCGCATGTCATCTCATTTCATAATTCCAAAATCGAAACCAATTCGAAACAAAACGTTTATAATTTAAAATTACAAGATTTTTTAAAACCTTTCTTTATTTATTCATCACTTGATAAAGATATCACTGTCATAAAATTTTCAAATGCATGATTTATTTGAACCCCTCTCCATGTCACGTCATTTCATAATTCGAACCTCGAAAACAATTCAGATAAATTTACCAGTTTTGCATTTTCTTAATTTATGCATTTCGAAACGAAACGTTCGTGATTTAAAATTTCGTGAGAAGCCATTCTCAAACTAATATGAACTAATGAAGGGATAGGATACAATATACGCCGCTCACCTCGAAACAATCTCGCTCGATGAACAAACAACAACAATACTACGAGCAAACGAGTGGATGTTGGGGTTCTTGCGGTCTCACGGCCAGAAACCAACTAGATCCTCCTGGCGCGCACATTCTCCTTGCCCGCCGTTGGATTATTCGACAGGGGCTCCACCATCTCCTCCACCACTTCCTCTGCCCAGGATCCAGCCGCTGCTCACACTCCAGCCTTTTCTCTGTCATCACTACCAAACGAATGGAGAAATCAGGAAAAAACATGCCCTCCTTCGGGCCATTCTTCTTCATTTCGGCCCATTAGGATTTAATTATTCATGTTTCGTTGTTTGTGGAGAGGAAGTAGTGATTGAAGGCACCCGAGAAATATCGCTCACGTGTAGTAGCTGGGTGGGTAGATTACAGCATTTGACCTTTTCTCGGGATTATAACTAGTTCATAAATTTCACACGTGTGCACATACGAAAAAATTTAATAGAAACACCCAGCGCATTCGCTGGAAAATTCTATTCGATTTCTATCCAAATTAGGTTTTATTAATTCATTATTAACCCAGCCGAGTCAAATCCCGAGCGCTTCAATTTTTTTTATTTCATGTACGTCTCTTCAATCGTTAAAAATAATTGGATTTCGATTGAACTTTCTATTAGTTTTTGGCCGATTTCGTTGAAAAGTTAGAAATGTTCTATGGGAAAATATTCTGTAAGCAAAGTCAATAGATTTCGGTTTTTCTATTCAACTTATTATTCAAATGCTTTTTAATTAGTTATTTTCTAGAGAAATTCCTCGGCTCAGATTTTCTATTAAACATTTTCTATACAAAATTATGGCGCAAATTTTACTGTTTTATTGTTTTTTTATTTTTTAAACTTCGCGATGATCAAACCTTGCATTTGACTTTCGAATGCCTTCAAAGTTCAAGGTAATAATCCCCTGAATTTTCACAATTCCCGAGCATTTCGACGACCATAAAAAAATTAAACTGGAAATGTCATAAAATCGACTTATTTTCCACCAAACAAATTCATTAGAATTTCACATAAATTTGTTGCTCATATATTTCTAAATTCTCTGTCAGTGTAATCCTCAAACTCTTCAGAATTACAAGGGCTGAATGCAAAAATTCAAGTATTTCGCAACTCATCGAAAGTTTTATTGTTCACTCAACATGAAGTGCATGATGAAGTATTTGGAGAACCGGTTCACTTCGATTCCACAATTGATTGGTTGAAGTGAGATTGATCTACAAATACTTCACACAGTAGTGAAATGACAAGAGGTAATTAAGGATACACTGAGATGAAAATTTCCTAATATGTAGACCATAAATTATTTTCAATGGTTTGAATCTCAGACTGTTTGCGCTTCACGGAACACGAATGAATTCTCATTTATTTATAGAATATATTGTACATGGTTAAAAAATTTTAGTTGAAATTTTCAGTGCACTTTTCGAAAATTAATCACATTTACAATTGACTGGCTAACGAAAAAAAAAAAAATAGACTTTGTCAATTGAAGTGTCTAAAGAATTACGTTAGCTTTTCGAACAACATATTTCCCGAAATTCCTAAAGAAAACAAATTATTTCGAATAGGTGAATTATTTTTTCGACTGTTAAATGAAGTTCGCCATGACGCGACGTTGCCGGGAACTCGTTAAACGCGCCCGGGGAGTGTAGAGTGAATTCGGCAACGCTAGAGCCTAAATAACACGACGGGGAATCCCCGCGGAGGTGACCAGAGTCGCAGGGTCGCGTTTGGTGACCAGACTAGGGTTAAGCTGTACTGAAATTTCACGGAATTTCGTCATTGAAAATTCTCAATTTCGGGGAAAAATCAATGAGAACTGTAAATGATCGCTCAATTATTCCCTGAAAATGAGTAGAAAACTGGAAAATTCCGGTAAACATCACGTATAAAAAAATTCAATAGAAAACCTTAGTGAATTCGTTGGAAAATTATATTCTAATTCTCTAGAAATTCTATGGGGATTCGATTAAAATTCCAAGGAATTCTCGTTAAAACTCTGTTTGTTATTTGCGCAGATTCGATTTTTCTATTTGAATTTTTCTCTTCAGATTTTTTCTATCAAAATTATTGGACACAGATTTTGTAAGTTTTTTCCGCTATATTTTGTTTTGTTTTGGATTACAGGATCCGAGTGAAGAAATTTAGAAAATTTATAGCCAAGTATTCTGATAGAAAAAAATCCAAGAGAATATTCATATAGAAAAGTCGAAATCTATTGGTTTTTTTCTGTCAGAGACCTCATAGAATCCCAATAGAATTTCTAGAGAATTCAAATAGAATTTTCTAGCAAATTTGCTAAGTTTTTCTATTGAATTTTTTCATGCCTGATATTCCTGAATTTTCAATTAGCGGAAACTTCAGGGTAATTTGGCACTTAATATTGATGTTTTCATTGAAAATTCAAATAAACTGAAGAATTCTCGACTTCATGCTTCTCAAAATTTTGCAATTTTATTAAATCTTTGGTGAAATCTGAAATTTCATGATTTTTTCCCCTTAAATTGCATTCAGTGGCACTGTCCTCAAAATTCCTAATCAACTGTCCATGGAATTTCATATTTTTTCTAATAGTGTATATCGAACCATTAGAAGTACATAAAAAAATCATGAAAACAATAAACACTGGAGGATTGACAATTGCGACAAAATCATACTTGAGTACAAGAATATAAAATATCTCAGACTTAAATATCATCAGACTTTTCTCGATCCACCTGAGTTTAGACGCCTTTGATAATTGAGCGAACGAGCAAAATTACTTGTCTCAAGTAAATGTCTTTCAGATATTCAATTTTTTTTCTCAGTGCACAGAAGTACTTCTGTTCATTGGATAATTATCGCGAAAGAGTGGATTTAGGGAAAAATGTGCAGAATTATCCAGTTCTGCGCTCGTTTCACCACTTGGCTACTGAAGGCTTCCATAAACCAGAAAGAATTTACAGTGAGTTATCGCTCCGTACATAAATAAAAAACATTTATTATGATATGTTTCCAGTGTTATCTCGCAAGTATAAAAAAAATTGCTGATCCCATAAGAATGAATAATCCTGTCCTTTCCAATTCCACTCAGAGTAATTAATGCTGCCAATAAATGTGGAGATTAATTGTAGGTAACTATTGCAGAAAAATTCCAGCGATGATTATTTCAACCCAGTTAGACATCGTACCACAGTCTTGACTCTAATTGGCCCGAATTCTTTTCTCAAAAAAATTGCCAGAGTGGACGCATTGTAATGCTGTTTATCTTTCCACTTTTTACAGTTCTCTCGGACTTTCCGGAAATTTACAAAGGCGTTTCTAACGCACGTCGTGAATTTACGTTGGGTATAACAGACAATCTCACGGATGTGTATTCGTTTTTGTATTGTTTTTTGGGACTGGCGGTCTGAAGTACTGGAACTCGTCGACGTCGTAGTCGTTCTGCTCGTACACTGATCGGGTCTGGTTCTGATTTTCTGTGTGATCTTCATTTTCTTCGTATTGCAAATGAATGTTGCCAATTTCTGGAAAGAAATGAATGATTTCATGGATGGAGTGAAAAAGGGACGTTTGTCGATTACTTAAGGATTTTTTTGATGAAAATCTTCGAATCTAGAGGAGATACAAAATGGTCATGAAGACAGGATGACGTTTCTGTGAAAATTCGCAATATCCAATGTCTTCGGAGATATTACAAATTCTATTAAGAGGAGACTACTATGAGTTTTAAAGTAGCTCTAGCCTTAGGGTAAATTCAAAGATTATTGAAAACTGCAAAAAAATTGCAGAAAACTCGATTAGATTCGGAATTCTAATTTTTTTCTCAGTTTAATTATCATTTTGGTTTTTCAGAGAAGAAATGTTTAAAAATCAGGATTTAACCCAGTGTCTTATGTGAAAATCAACATTTACATTGTAATCAAAGATTAAAATCTGAATTTTTTTTCATTAGATGTGTCAAAATCGGGAATTTTTTGACACCTCAGAGAAAATAATCCACCGGTTTGCAAACAAGTTTTATTATTTATTTATAAGAGGGATATGTTTGAAAAAATATCAATATCTTGCGAAATTTAATTTGGATAATACTGGCTGGGTATGAATTTTTTCAAATTTTTTCCATGCAATTTAGTTGAAAAATTAAAAAACTGAAAATATTCAAAAGTACAGCTAGCATGACCGAAGGGTAGAGCTACTTTAAAGTGGCGGGTCATTGGAGTGAGACTTCTCATGTATTGAAGATCGATTATATATGTCTAAAAATGAATAATTAGTGCAAAAAAATTGATTGTTCATTGTCGGTTTGCCCCGCAGACGCTTAAAATGTTAAAAATAGTCGATACACAGCCCGGGGATTTGCATCTGCCCATCCACACGTGGACTTCTGATGATTAAAAGTCATTCGATTATTGATGACATTTTCGTGTTGGAAATTTTGTCAAGTTAAGGGGTAACAGAGTGCCGCTAATTTTCCAAATTTTTGAACAAATTTCCTGCTGAAAGTTATCGATATTTTTAAAAATCAAAGCACATTAATCTCCAGGAAGCGATGATAAAGATCAATGTGCTTTGGGTTAAGGATGTTCGACACCCTTTTAGCCAAAATTGACGTTGTTTTCATTTTTCTGGCAAATTATCGATGGGAGTGACGTGAAAAAATATAACGATTTTGTGGTTTGTCATTCTTTAATGGCTCACGAAGTTGCGTAGTGGTGCGATAATTTTCATGCGTTTNAAAATCAAAGCACATTAATCTCCAGGAAACGATGATAAAGATCAATGTGCTTTGGGTTAAGGATGTTCGACACCCTTTTAGCCAAAATTGACGTTGTTTTCATTTTTCTGGCAAATTATCGATGGGAGTGACGTGAAAAAATATAACGATTTTGTGGTTTGTCATTCTTTAATGGCTCACGAAGTTGCGTAGTGGTGCGATAATTTTCATGCGTTTTTTCTACAGTTTTGTGATTCTTTTTAAAAGTTTAGAGAAAACGCAGGAAAATGTTCGCACCACCTTAAAATTTCGTCAGTCATTAAATAATGACAAAACGCAAAAACGTTATATTTTTTCACGTCAATTCCATCATAAGTTTGCCAGAAAAATTAAAAAAACGTGAATTTTGGCAGAAAGGGTGTAGAACATCCTTAAAATAATATTGACAATTTTGAGCAGGAAATTTGTTTGAAAATTTCGAGCAAACGGTGGCCTTCTGTAGCCCCTTAAGGGGAGACTGCTATGAATGAGAATGGAATGAGATTTCTCACGCATTGAAGATCGATTGTATATGTCTAAAACCGAATAATTAGTGCAAAAAATTAATTGTTCATTGTTGGTTTGTCCCGCAGACACTTAAAATGTTAAAAATAGTCTAGGGCCTCCAATTTTTGAGCTACAGAGGTTTTTTTCCTCAATTCTTGAAAAATTGTGTACGATAACAATTACAATTAAAAATTGATAAACTCACTTATTGGCTGATGCATGTTGTTCTCCACCCTGATGATGACTCTGGGAATAGTTTCATTGACTTCAATCTGCCCACCCTCACCATAATCCACGAGGACAAAATCATTATCATTGTCGTCTGAATAATCACCCGTTTGATAATCCTCGGTTTTTGGACTTGGGTTTGGGGTTGTATTTTGGTCAGTACTTGTAGTGTCCGGGGACTCCTCCAAGGACTTCCTAGCCTCCGGAAGTCTTTGTACGTCTTTCACCCCTTGATCAAGGTGGAATGATGGCAGGAGTTGTTCTACGGTTGATACTAATTCGTTTGTCTACAATCAAATACGAAAGGTGAGAGAAATGCTCATTAGAAAATTGAAACACAGGAGAAAAAAAACAAATTCCCAGGGTTAAATTAATTATTAACCAATTGGTAAATTTCTTAAAAGGTTTTATCAATCAATGGGTTAATAACTAATGCACCACTCGAATTATTGATTATTTCATTAACTTCCCATTTTCAGGTCAAATCAACAAAATTTGTTTTTTTATTGTTCAAAGTGCTCAATTCTGAGTTTGAATTATTTACACTGTCGTTGCACGTATGAAAAAATTGTATAGAAATCCTACAGTATTTCCGTATATGATATCCAGATATTTCTATACAAATATTTTCTATACGAATTATTTCTATACATAAATTTTTACATTAATTTTTGTTTTCATACGAAAGATGTCTAAACGCTACAGAGAAAAACGTAGAGAAATGTCGCAACTCCATACGAAATGTTTCTATACATGTGGTAGTGGGTCGTATAGGATCAAACCTATAGAAATCGTATAGAAATAATTTGTATAAAAAATATCCGTATAGAAATATCCGAATATCATTTACGAAAATCCAATAGAAATTCTACACGCAATCCGTATAGAAAATTTCTATACGATTTTTTCATACGTGTGATTTCAATAATATTTGGTGTTTAACCTCGCACAATTGAATTATCGGTTAAAATTCAGTAGCGAAGCGGTAAACCGGGTTAAGTCGATTTTGACTTTTGACCTAATATTGATGAATATCTCGGCATCTAAAAAAGATAGCAAAATTTTTCGCGATAACTTTTTTATAACCCTCCAGTCGCTCTACAAAAAATATTTTGACAAAAAATTTTCTATTTCTTTTAGATTCCGAGATATTCGTCAAAAACTGGTCAATAGACAAAAACGATTTAACTCGGTTTACCGCTTCGCTACTGAATTATTCCGTTTTGATTCTTCGAGTAACAAAATTTGGTTATTCACGAATAATTTCTCTTAATATAACTAAAAATTAATATTGTTGCCAATCCCTGACTCGTGGCAGATCAAGCCATTTTTCAACAGAATTTCCTAACCGACGCGTTCGATTTTTCTATTAATATTTTCCATTCGTGAGTACATACAATAAGATATTCTCACCTTGTTGATAACATTCAAATACAAGTGCCGTCCTTCCCTCAATTTACTCAACAATTGATTCAATTCCATTTGTCTCCTGTCACCAGTGAAAACATTTCTATACCGATTCCCATCTCTAACATCAAACTCATTGTTCTCTGAAAGTCTTTCATGACTCGGATGATAATCATTCCGCCTCAAAATATTCCAAAACGGTTTCTCCTGTTGTGTAATCCCTACAGTAGTATTTCGTGGATTTAGAGTTCGGAACCAGTCGTGAAAAGGCTTGTTGTGAATCGTAATTGTTCGTATCTCCTCCAGCCAGAGATTATACGCCTTTTGGCCGAGAATGTCCTTCACGGAGTTTAGCCACTGGTGAAATTCCTGAACATGGAAGGAAAATCGTTCATTTTCTAGGAATAACATTCGTGAATTTTCGTGACGATCCATAATTGAATGTCTGACATTTTATTCTATAATTTCGAGAAAAAATATCAATTGATTTCTTCAATTCCATCTCCCGTAGGACAAAATTTCATTTTTCTCAACTGATGGACGAAAACATCGTTTGCAAGAAATAAAAAAGAGAGTATTGCATTGACTTTTTGTATAGAATATTTTCTATTGAACATTTCAATAAAATCGGCCAAAAGCTACAAGAAAGTTCAATCGAAATCCGATAAAATTGTCTAGCGAATGCGTTATGTTTTTCAATTAATTGTTTTCATACGCCCCCCCAAGCTCAAAATATTTCCCACAGATTTGAATGCTTCTCTTCTCTTCTCCCAACAATTCAATTACCGTGTCATTGTACGGTAACTCGTCTCTGGTCTCTTTCACGAGGTATTTAACAGCTTGTGCATTGCTCCTGGCACGAAAATTATCCATCCAGGGAGCTGATGGGAGTGGACGTTGTGCACTCGGATCGAAGAACCTCATCTGAACATTCTGAAAATCATTCATTCAACAATTTGACGTGTGATCATGGTAATCGTCTCAATAACAATGAATTGAGTGATCAGAATGAGTGACGAACTTTTTCCATTTGCCGATAATGGGCGGTTGGCATTGATGAATCATTCATTGGACTCGGTCGACCATGACACGACCGAGTAATCCTACAGTTGTCGCTTGTGCAGGGGCTTTGAACTTGATAAGCGCATTGTTGACCTTTCGGGCATACCCAACCGTTACACTTTTCACTTGCGAGCAATTCCTTCTCAGTCGTTGCTATGCAATCGGGTGTGTGTTGACAATGCGGAGGTCGACAATTTTCGCGAGGTCGCCGGAGGAAGCATTCAAACTGCGATACACAGCCCAGGGATTTGCATCTGTCCATCCACACGTGGACTTCTGATGATTAAAAGTCATTTGATTATTGATGACACTTTCGTGTTGGAACTTTTGTCAAGTTAAGGGGTAACAGAGTGCCGCTAATTTTCCAAATTTTTGAACAAATTTCCTGCTGAAAGTTATCGATATTTTTACAAATCAAAGCACATTAATCTCCAGGAAGCGATGATAAAGATCAACGTGCTTTGAGTTGAAAAAATATTGATAACTTTGAGCTGGAAATTTGTTTGAAAATTTCGAGGAAACGGCCTTCTGTTACCACTTAAGGGGAGACTGATATGGATGAGAATGAAATGAGATTTCTCACGCATTGAAGATCGATTATATGGGTCTAAAAGTGAATAATTAGCGCAACAAATTAATTGTTCATTGTTCGTTTGCCCCGCAGACGCTAAAAATATTGAACATTATCCAGGACCTCCAATTTTTGAGCTACGGAGGTTTTTTTCAAAATTTTTGAAAGAATGTGTACAATAACAATTACACATTAGTTTTTTGAAATTCGACTCCTACACAGCCAAAATTGTTTGGCAGTGTCTATTCACACGCTCCACGGTAACTTTGACCGTGGATATACGGGACGGTTTCCCGTGGATTCGAGGTAATTTCTACCGTGGATATATGGGAGATCGTGGACCCTCAACTTTTACTTCTCGAATTACATCTAGACAATAAACTAGACACATCGAATCAATTGATAAGTGATATGCAGATAGTAGACTACTAAATAATTTTCACAAAATATTAATTTGTTGAATACGAATATCAGTCTAGATTAACGCGAATAAAAAATGAAATAAATAGTTGGTTGTAAATAATTTTTACAACTTGATCAATAATTCTTCGATCTACAGATGTCCATATCTACTTGAACTTCCAATAATTGAAAATGAAAATAAACTAGTTCATTATGGTTTGAATAATTTTAGGAACAGTTGTCAGAAATATTCTTTGTCCGAAATTTCCTCTCTTGGAAAAAAGGTCCTTCGACGTATCTCTCTAAATCATTCAATTATATTCAATCATTAATTGATTAAACACCAGTTTTCAATTATAACAGCCGAGTCTAGAATCATGTTCACAATTAGATTATTGCATGAAATTTGATTATTAAATTATTACCAAAGAAAATGAAAAAATACGAAAATTGAATAAAAAATAAACTTAACAATATTATTCAAATAATTAATAAATAATTATTTCCCTGAATAATGAAATTTTTAATTATTCATCGAAATAAAAAGAACGTATTAGTATTTTTCATTGAATTTTCATTTCCAGCTGTGAAAACAATTTCATGCAAAACCCCCCCACTTGAAGCATAAAATGAACTTCCTTTGACCTTGGGTATTAGCACAACTCTTGAATAATTTGCAGGGAGGTCGAGTGCAGAGTGATTCCCTGAGGATACAGCGTTGACCCGAGGCACAATGAAACCCAGCGCACGTAGCTGGACCATCGTAATACTCCTGCTCAGTAACGCATCGTGCGACTCTATCTCCACAGGCTGATAATAGCAAAAGATGTGCCTCAATTAAACGAGTGAACTGATGCGTTAATTTCAAAAGTTAAAATAAATTCCTCCGGCAATTTAAATTATGCTAATGCATCGTTTTGAATGCAACGAGTTAATTCACCGTACACTCATTCCAACTGCAGTGACGCACTCTAATAACGCAGACGTGTCCCTTGGTGCACCTGACGGTGTCGCAGGAGACGGGTCCTCGGAGTAATTCTGTGTGCCATGGAGAATTACATAAATAGACTGGTTTATTTCCACCGATGTGATAATGATGCTCTACTTTTGATTTTGAAATTCATACCTGTACGGGTTTTTGCACAGTACAACATACTGGGACATGGGTAACGTTCGCATAAAAATTTTCTGTTGACACACCGCTCATTTCTCTTGCATTTGACGAAGGAACAGCCACCCGGGCTCTCGAAATCCCTGAGGACTGGATGAAGATATTTATTATGGATGAACTGTTGAACATTTTCGGCTAAAATTTCCGGTCGACTTTTAGATAAATCTTAGAAAAGGAAACGTCGAGAAATTCTCATTGAAAATGTCTCGATAGAAAAGATGCTGAGACAGATGGAATTCTAGTGGTTTGTTTTTTAATAAAATAGTTTCTATTGGACAACAGAATCCAGCGGAGACGAATAAAATATTCAATGGGAGTTTAACAGAAATTCCAATAAAATTTTCGAGAATTTCGAGAAATTCCCATAAAAAATGTCTCAATAGAAACAGTTGCACAGGAAGATGGAATTCCAGTGTTTATTCAACAAAATAGTTTCTATTGGAAATTTTTTATTGAAAAAATCCCGCGGTAAACGCGAAGTTCAATAGAAATCAAATAAAATTTTTTATCGAATGCGCACGGTTTTTCTGTGAAACTTCTTCATTCGTGGAGCGTGGCATAATTAATCAAGACCTCATATTCGAATTTCATCATTTTTCGTTGGCCTCAGAATTAATCATCTCGTCAACGGAATCCACAGAAACTGACAGAAAACACAATAAATAAATTATTGTGGTGAATGCATAAATTGTCGACCCTGTGATAGCGCCCATGACTCTCCAAACCGGAATTCAACAAACCAAACAAATAAAAGAATGAATAATAAATTTGATTTCACGTTCAGCACTTCACCATTATTATAGTCGACATTTCACTTCAGAAATATCCTTCAAACCATTAATCACTTACTTCTGTACGAACTCCCGAGTGACACGTGGGACAGTAAAACTAAAACGACTAGAATGTGCCTAATCCACCGATGTAAATGCATTATCGATGGATACGTGTGAAACGTGTGAGCTATGAACAACGAATGAGCACAAACTGTAAATTGATATCTCGAGTTTTCATAATCGGAGACTCCGGACACCGCGAATCCACAACAGAGTTTCATTACCATTACCTACACTGAGCGAAAAACTAACAAATTCTCAAATAAGTATTGTTTGGAGGAAAAAAATCGCAAGTTAAAAATTACCAAAGAATAAATTGTTGGATTTGAATTTGAAGCAACGAAATATTTGGCTCAAGAGGTTGATCATTCACACAAGACGGCGGTTTTTCAGAATGAAAATATTGGTGACAAAATCACTGAAATTCAGAATTTTGCACTCACTGAATTTGACAATTCGGAATCCCTAATCATTGGGGTATTAATTGCTGAAAATCAGTCATATGCCCCTCGAAATCAGGGACATTTCCCTGAAAATAATTTTTTTTTCTATGAATATTTTGTCCCTAAGGTACAAGATTGCTATCATATCATTATTAGCATTTTATTTAACCCGAGATTGGTCACCCTATGAGAGAAACCCCGCCACGCGTCGTTTTCCTTCAATTCCAATTGACTGGCTAACCGAACAAATTCAAGAAAATTTGACTTTGTCAATTGAAGTGTCTAAAAAAATTATGGTAGTTTTTAAAACAACATATTTCCCAAAATTCCTGAAGAAAACAAATTATTTCGGACAGATGAATTATATTTTCCCATGTTAAATGAAATTACCCATGACGCGACGTTGCCGGAGACTCGCTAAACGCGCCCGGACAGTGTAGAGTGAATTCGGCAACGCTGAAGCCTAAATAACACGGCGGCGAATCCCCGCGGTGACCAATCACAGGGTCGCGTTTGGTGACCAGACTAGAGTCAAGCATTCCCTTCTTATCTGTGATGAAAATATAATAAAACAAAGAAAATAATTGTGAATAAATTCTTGAAAATCAGTCATATGCTACTTGAAATCAGTGACATGTCCCTGAAAATAACTTTTTTTTCTATGAATATTTTGTCCCTAAGTTATAAGATTGCTATCACATCATTATCAGTTTTTTATTTAAGGATTAATTTCTCATCTCGATTAAAAATACAATAAAACAAAGAAAATAATTGTGAAAAAAATGAAGTGAAAAAGTGAATAGGAAAATACTATTTCTCTCAGTGCACAATCGAACCTCAAGCCTACTGGAATGATGAAAAAAACACCTTATTATCGTCAAAATAACATTATATTCCAGATATAAGAGAAACAAAATCGAAACACGAAGAGTGTTATACATTTTTGTCTAAAAAATTCACGCATACAGAATCCAATTGAATGTAGCACTACCCTCCAGACATTTCAGCATTCAACTTACTAGTCAATATTTGAACTAATCGATAAAACCATAAAAAAATCAATACGATCAATACAATCATTCACTTACTCGTCTAAATAATATAATACACAGCCAGTAGCGAAGAAATATCATCTCAGTTTCTAAAAACTTAATTAATCGAGTACTCGTGTCACTGGTGAATAAGAAAATATGGTTTATGAAGAATAAAGACTACTCTTATCTGAATGTTATTAAAACATCTCATATTCAAAACGCAAAAATGTACTCAATTTTTCGCTCTGGGACTTCACAAAATAACCTGCTACCCACGTGGAAAAATATGCATGACACTTCTACGATATCGTATATTTTTCCATTCGAAACATGTAGTATTCACTGCATATTTTTTTCCATATGGATACACGCACATCACGTATGGAAAAATCAAATAAAAAATCCTAGTGCATTCGTTATCGGTTTCTATTGGGAATTCTATTCCTCTTTTCCGAAAATCCCACAGCTCGTTCCGCCTCTTTCAATGGAAATATTCCTCCTACTATCTTATTAATTTTGACATTTAAGTCAAACAATTCTGACTCATAAAACTGATAAAATTCCAGTGGAATTCCCCAGTGGATGCGCAAAGTCTGCAATTACAAATTCTTCCACGAATGGCCTCTAAAATAAACCTAAAAATGTGAAAATTTCATCTCAAAGAAATTTTCGTCATAAAAAACGTATATAAATTCGATAGAAACACCTAGAGCATTTGTGAGTAAGTTCTATTGGATATCTGTTGAACTCCTACTGAAATTTCCATGAGTTTTCTGTGCGTTTTTCCAACAGAAATGCTCAATAGAAAATTAATAGAAAAAAAACAATGGAATTCCATTCGTTTGATTTTTTTATGCAATTCTTTCTATTATATTTTTCGTAGAAATCCCTCGACTTTGAAAACTTATATCGACCAATTGCTATAGAAAATATCCCAATCAAATAATTTATGTGGAAATATCAAATGCTATTATTTTTTTGTGGAAAATTGTTTGCGCCGAAAATTTTCAATTGAAAAAAAAACGAGCAAAAAGCCCCAGAATTATTCAACGCAAGTTTAATAGAATTTCCTATCGAATGCGTTAGGTTTTTCTTTGAAATTTCATACATGAAAGATCCTCAAAAGCGGGGATAGCCATATCCATAAATTATAATTACCGTTAAATTATTAAGTAGCCAATTAGTCAATATCACTCTCAAATTTGAATTATTGAAGTCATTGTCAATTTAAATATTCAAATTCCGAATTATTTATTAATCAGTAATTTAGTTGGGAAGATCGACGATTATTTGGATAATCGCAAACTCCTCATAAGAAATTTAGTATTATTTACTTAATAGAAAATTTACAGATCCATATTATTATTATAAATATTTAATTCGCCATCAATTGGAAATTTAGATTATCAATTACTTTAGTAGCGGAGAGTGGGGCAAAATGAAACAGTCGAAACACGACTATTTGACGCAATTTAGGCAAAAAAATTTTTTGTTATTCAATTTTTTTTTTATCAATTTTTCTTTATTATCTTTTTTTTATTCTTGGAAGTACTGATGAGAATAATAATTTTCCATTCACTAGAATGGAAAATTATTGAGAAGTTTTGACGGGAGATTTTGTCAATGGATTAATTGAAAAGAAAATGAAACAGCATCCGAAGTCCAGAGCAAGACCCAGGGGGAAACCCAGAGGGGGAAAAAGGAAAATGTGATCCTGAATTTCAATCGAATGAAAAAAGAAAAGCGGGATCAGCCTAATCTAATCAATTGAATTATAAGACGAATAGAAAATTATTATTCTCATCAGTCCTCCCAATAATAAAAAAACTTAATAAACAAAAGTAAATTAAAAATTTGTTTTGCTTGAATTGCGTCAATCAGTTGTTTTCCAGCTGTTTCATTTTTATTTGCCCCGCTGTTTCATTCTGCCCCACTCTCCCCCATATTAAAATTTCGATTAGTACATTTTATGAAAGAAAAATTAAAAAAAACCTTAATCAATGTAAGTCAGAAATTCTTTTAATATTGAAGAATCGGAAGACTGACGGCCATCCCAGCTCAGAAGTCGAAAATTTCATTTACTCTTCTTAACGTGAAGTTGCAAAAGTCCGGCGAGTGCACTGGTGAATCCAGCGTTATAGTCAAGCGTGACCTCGGTATAAACGTAATCCTCCCTGTGATCCCGAAACTTATCAGCCTCATCTGGGCCTGAAACGAGAGCGCCGTAGAGTATCTGTGGATTAGAAGCGTTGCGGTCAAACTCAGGCCAGCCACACTGGGTTGGTAAATCGGGACAACTTGAGGCGGCATGATGAGGCTGTTGTGGAGGATTAATTCCCCATCCAACAACATAACTTCTGCCTCCACCGCCGAGCATATAGTGAATCTGTTGTCTCGCAAATTCGCGATACTCCCTGGGATCTCCGATTTCTGGGGAATCGGCTGCCTCGAGACAGATAAAAGCGACATTGGCTGCGTGACAGAGAGTTCCAAATTTGTCGATGTAAAGGAGGCCCTTTGGGGTGCGCTTCTGGTGTCTAGAGGAGAAATCGCAGAAGGCACGGGCTGCGTTCTGATACTCAGACTGTCCGGTGAGCTGTGCCAGCAGGACCTGCACTCCGGCGACTTTTTTATTGTAGAAGAATTCGTTGGGCCTCTCCTTCAGGTGAAAATGGTGGTAATGATGCTCGGCGTCCTCTAGGTATCGAGTGTCGTTGGTGGCCTTGAACAGCCACAACGAGGCCCAGGCCAATTCGTCACCGTAATCCGTGCTCTCGTAGAACTGAGCTGCGTTTCTTATCGACTCGTGGTAGAGCCCGCGGTAGGTGTTGGCGAATTTGTAGAGCTCAAGAGCGTGACGGAGACACTTGGAGCTGTAGAGAGGATCGATCGTCTTGAAGACGATGCTGGTGGCGGCCAGGGCTGCTGCCGTCTCGCCTGCTAGGTCTGAACCTGCAGAGAGAAAAAATTTTTGATTTTCGGGGATGTGACACTGTTTTTTAGGAATCTATCGGCTATTGTTGGTGATTTTTATTTTTTTTAATGAAATGGGATCATTTTTTCACGATGGGAAAAGGAATTTTACTGCTTTGGGATGAGGTTAATTGATGAATTTAACGAAAGTGGAAATTTAGGTAAAGTTTTTAATTATAGATTTTAAGATTTGAAACGTTTTCGTCTGAATTTTCTGGGACGAATTCCGGAAATTTTTATCGTGCTCAAGTTCCACTGAAATTTGAGGAAATATTGTCATTGAAAAATCAATTATTCTATTGATTTTCGGTTCAAATGATCTGGAAATCAATGAAATATTTGATTTTTCAGTTCAATTATTCTGTGCAAAATCAGGAAAATCAGGACAATTCAGGGAAAAATTGAAAATTCATGTCATTTTGTTTCTGAATATTCATGTTCACTGAGAATGCAATCAAGCTGTGAAGTTTCCATCTCACTCCTACTGAAAACTCATGAATCTCTGTGAATACTACTCAAAACTTGACGTTTCATAACCATTTTTTTCCTAAATCCGATTCAAGGTCATTCTCAGGGGGCCTTTTCTCGAAATGTTTCCGTGCGCGGAATCGACTCCGTTGACGGAACGCCTATATGATTCCTATACGCAATTCGTCTACGAAGCCACTTCCGTGCACGGAAATATTTAGAGAATAGGCCCCCAGGAGATTTACTATAATATCTTCCATGAAATAAAAAAAAATTCTAACACTGTAAATTTGGATGGGAGGTATCAGCATTTTTAAGAGTCAGAAGTGCCTGTTTTGCCCCATTCTTTCCCATTTGCACCCCCGAGGGGAAAACTGCTCTGTGATTCTGAGAAGAATTGAGATCATTAGGTAAATTATTTATTAAATTATTCATTCATTTATTTATTCATTTGAAATGGGGTATGCAATTCAATTATTTATTAAATCTGTCATTCATTCATTTCATTTTATTTATGCAATTTATTTATTTATTAAATTTTTTATTCATTTAGTTATTCACTTGAAATCGTTCATGCAATTCAATGATTCATTAAATTCTTCATTCATTTAATTATTCGTTTGAAATAGTTCATGCGATCCTCTAATTGATAGTTGACTTGTGCCTAGTTTGACACAGTGTTAGGGTTAAACAGAAAAAGTCAAACGGTCATACTGCACTGTACATTCTAAAAACCAAGAGGGACGACGTAACTGCCGGTTAATTAATATTTCAAGACAGTTGCTGGGTGGAGGACGTGCACTGTCACTGGAATACAAAATCGAACGGGCTATGGCTACCACTCTCGCATTGAACATTCCAGAGATTTTATAATATCCGGATGAGGTGACGGACTTTAATCCATTTCTGAAGTGTTAAAACAACTCATCGCTGAAACAAAATGTAAAAAGTTTCTCAATTCCGTAATAATTTCGAAAATGCGTGGGGGTTTTGAGCAGGAACTTCTGCAAGGGGACCGTTTTGCGAATAAAAAAATTACTTTCGATGGTGACTCTTGAGCACTCTATTTCGAAATAATTCCCCAAATATGAAGGTGCATTTACGTTTCAACCATTTTTTATTTCGACCTTCAGTAGTTATGGGTAATACTTTACCCGGATGATCCGAATCGATTTTAAACGCCGGTCTAGTTGTGTTGAGCTCCTCCGGTCTGCCCCAGAACGTGTGATCGAGCGAGAAATCCCCCACTTGACCGTAGAAAACGAACTCACTGACGTGACACTTGATGAAGTAATCGGTGGCCCACTTTATTGATTTGCGAACTTCATCGAGTTGACCCGCGGCTTCGAAAGCTTCTGGCCAGCTGACTGCACCCCAGGCGAGTAGAGTCGTCGTCGAGGCCATGGTAAAACCAAATTTCACGAAGTCTCCAGCTGAAAATCCCACAGCCAAATCATTAATTAATACGGCATTTAATTATTTAGTTAATAATAGTGGTATGCATTTTGCGGATGGATGTACATGCTTGATAATTTTTTAAAAAAGTTGAATTTTGAAGAAATCAATTGTTGATAGCACTCATTAATTTTAAATTATTAAATTCATTGTCAACTAGCGAACGGGCGGTTCGCGCCTGTCGCTAGATTAATTTATATTATATTATTTAATTTTTTTCGCATTTTCCGTCTTCAGGATTAGATTAACTATTTCGATTCATTCTTATTCTTGATACATATATTTTTGGCAACTGAAAAACTGCACCTTTTTGATGACTAACGTTCCACTTTGCTCCACGCTCCCCCATTCACAGAATGAAAGTGTTTCAATTGAATCGTAAATATTAATAAATTTGTTCTCTTTGCCATCTGAGCAATCGTTTATATTGAAAAAAAGATTTATTTACCCGAGAAGTTTCTCAATCTCTTTGGAAAACTCTCAGATTTTCTTGGCTTCTTGGGTGTTCTAGAAAATTCAAAAACTTCGAGGTGCTTTTAATTGCAGTGTTTTTAATTGGAGGAATTCTCAAAAATCTTGGTATTCATTTTCTCTTATTCTGCTCTGACGAAGCCGGGCCACACAGCTAGTCAAGCTGAATTTGAAATTAAATTCCTCAATTGGAACAAAACAATTTTTTTTAGAAAACCCGAGAATTTTCTCGAATTTTCTGTAAAACTGACAATTTTCTCCAATTTTCTCGAAAACCGGAGAATTTCTTCGGATTGTTTAGAAAACCTGAGAATTTCTTCGAATTTTCTGTAAAACCAATGGATTTTCTCGAACTTTCTACAAAACACGAGAATATCCTCAAATGCTGTCAAATTCTCAAAAATATGCTCGAAAACTCGAGGATATTCTACAATTTTCCAAAAAGCTGTAGACTTTTCCAGAAGTTTCTGTGGTGTATACTAAACTATGCGCTATAACGCAATAACTTATAGCCTAAAACCGATTGGGGACCATAAACTATGTAATAGTAAAACTAACATTGAAATCTATTCAGTTGTTTGTGTGTGGATCGCGGCCAAAGATCGGGCAACAGATTTATTATCTTTAAGAAGACGGCCTAAAGGCCCTACAAGTGAACAAAAACGATGATTCCATAAGCTACATAGTGTAAAACACAAGCATTGTCATAAGATTGTTACGAGAACCGCAACTGCGTTCATATAATATCTCGTAAACATGGTTAAACCAATCCCGTAGTTTTTTTTTGTTATTGTGCCCGCGGGGAACTTTTCCATCATTGTGTAATTTTTTAATTGTCTATCTCTGGTCTAAACAAACATTCTTAAAATAAAAATGAGGTCGGAATTCCCGAACCTGACGACTCCTTATGTCATATAATTGTTGACATTTCATCACTCTGTCTGCATACGTCAGTTAGGCATGTGTCAGCTGAATGCGATTGACCCAATCTGGGGCATAACACTTTTATCTGTCCAAAAAGTTCCGATGAAGAGTGCACGGAGGCAAAAGTTGAGCAAAAATTACCAAACAAATTAAATTCGTGGGGCGGAATTCCGTTCCACGCCTTTTTGACTCTATATTGACGTAAAATAATGCGAGACGAGTGGTGAATTTGTTTTTCTTTTGCTCCGAAAAATTTACGGAATGTCAGAAAAAATTTACTAAAATTCACAAAATTACGTCAATGAGCACGAATGATTACTTAATGTTTAGAAGTTTTTCTGTAATGGAGAAGAGCAATTTTTACCTAACACTATACGGTAGACAATAATTTTTGCATCCACAAATGTGTTTGAGTCGTGAGATATTCTCCGTAAAATGTATTTTTTATTGGAAAACATTTCGCCCCACAATGACCTTTCGTACAGTAATTTAAAAAAATATTTTTTATTTAGATAATTGCGCTTCAATAGAGTGGAAGCCCGTGAAAAATCGACGTTTTGACGAAAAGTTCAATGATATCAGCTATCATCACTTCAGTAATGCTCATATTACCATCGTAATAACCGCCTGTGAGGTCCTCCCCATCGAGACCCCGATCGTCGAGAGCAGAATTTCCGCGCCAGGGAATTCTGTTATCTCCCGGCAATTCACCAGATCTCTGGGCCTCATAGAACATCAATGACAGCTCCAATACCTTTGCGTAATCGCTATCACTTTCCAGTGGTTTCACATTCGGTGCAGCCGAGCTCTGACTCATTGACGGCACACCTAGAATCTAGAAAAAAAAGCAGTGGTTCACAGTTTGTTGACCAATTCCATTTTTTCTCATTTTCCATGCACTGTTAGAAATTTCTTGCAATTTCAGTCACAGCATCATCTGAATTTCCGATGTTGTGGGGTTGAATGCAATTTCAAATAAAAGCGCAGTTAAAATTTGGATAGGAACAATTCAGTGGCGAAGTGGTAAAACGGTTTAAGACTTATCTCCCAGTTGAATTTTTTAGGTATATTTCCGAATCTAAGGGAGATAGCAAACTTTTCGTAATTACATTTGTTGTAGCTCTCAATCGGCTCTACAAAAAAGGTTATAACGAAAATTTTACTATCTCCCTTGGATTCCGAGATATTTATTGAAAACTGGTCAATAGTCAATATTGACTTGTACCGCCTTACCACTTCGGTACTGAATTCTTTCCCCTAAATTGGATTTAATACACGGAGAGAAGTATTCAGTAAAAATTACAGAACAATTTACGTAATCCGCAACCGTTTTCCGGCAATTTTTATAGGAATGGAAGAGAAGAAATCTGAAACGTTCAGTGAATTTTCTGGTTCATCGCCGAACAAAGTATGAAATTGTCACGTAATTTTTCCCGAAGAAGTAAAATCTTACAGAAACTTGCCGACTTATTATGCTTCCAAAATCAAAAATTCTTGAACGTTCAACAAATTTATGAAGCTGGTGAGTTATTTCTACGTTCCGTTTCATAAAATTTCTCAATCGTTGGGGAAAAAATACGGAACGACTTGTTGTCCCCACAGCGGTGAATCCTCAGGCGGGTACTTAATTTTTACGGAACAAATTGTAGAATTTATTTGACGATTCGTATAATTTCAGTTCCGACTCACACTTTTTACTGAATTTTACGTCGCTCACGGATTACGTTTCGAAACGTAATTTTTACATTTTTTTTCTGGTAATTTTTATTGAATTGCTCTCTCCTTGTATCACTCCTTAAAATTACTATTCAACTGTCCACGAAATTTTCATTTTCTCAATGCAATATTTTTCTGCAACTCTCGAGCAATGAAAATATTGACGCAGCCATCAGCATTTCCCCAAACGTCGCCCAATGTGATTCCCCTCCCTCTCCCTCCTCCCACTAATTTCCATCATTAAACATAATTACTCACTTCCCATAAAAAATAAAAATTCCTATTTGCCCAATTCCACTGAATAAATCCCTCGCCCCGTCCAGAACAATGCAAAGCCCTCAAAAGCGGTGAAAACCCAAAGGGAAACAAAACTCAGTACATATTTGCTATGAGTATTGACGCATGTCACACGGAAATTACGCGTGCATTGAACTCGAGAAATTTTCTGAGAACGTAGAACGATATCTCCCGTAAGAAGACTCGTGCAAACCTCTACATTAAATAAACTTCAATATACTTTTCTCAAGATCCCCTCGCATCGCCCGCCCAGCAAGAGTGAAATCGAGATAAAAATATATAAATCCCATTTACCAAGAGACAGGTATGTATCCAGCAAACGTTGAACATGATGCCCTAGCCAGCAGTATTTCCTGCCACTCACCAGGATAATAACCACGTCGATTTATCGAAGACCATTGCATCCATTTCGAATGAGCTGCACGAATAAAATTTACCGAGATTTTCAAGATAATATTTAATCAACTTTTCTCTCCGTGAATTTAAGATCGAATCGTTCATGCACGAAACAAAATCAACGAATAATCCAGTGAAAATTCCTGAAATTGTACTATTCGCCTTCCGAACAATAGGATTGAAAGGGGAAATTGATCCTTCCGCTGACATTCTTTCCTTGATTGCAAATAAAAATTCCTAAAATATAATTTCGCTGTCCGATTACTTACACTTTACAGTAACTTTTTAGAAATTTTTTTATTCATCTCGAAAATTCACTTCTCGAAATTCCGAAACTCATTGTAAAAATCGGAACTCCTCTAAATGTTCCAGAAATTAACTGATTTGCGATTCTCTAAATGCCCTCGCATCGTCCGCCCAACAAAAGTGAAATCGAGATAAAAATATATAAACCCCATTTACCAAGAGACAGTAGTGTATCCAGCAAACGTTGAACATGATGCCCTAGCCAGCAGTATTTCCTGCCACTCACCAGGATAATAACCACGTCAATTTATCAAGAAGGATTGCATCCATTCCGACTGAGCTGCACGAGACTTCTGGACGTCTCTCCGACATTACCAGGTGCATTTCAGGGGAATACCTACTAGCTGAATCTGACTCTGCATAGTTTCCTTCAATTTTTCACACTCAGCGAATCACTGCACCACTATTTCTATCCTTTTTACTTTGAAAAAGAAACAATCAGTGGTGTAAACCCGAAGGCCATGAACGCTCGTCCGGTAATATCACTTGCGTGCAGGCAAATTGCAAATTCACTTGGGAAATAATTGTTGAACTGGATGGTAGACCGATGGAATCCAGTGTTTGTACGTTTGTGAGCAAAAAAAATCACCTTTCCGATATCTTGGGAATGCGTATGACGATGTACTCAGGGAGATCGTGACAGTCTCGCCGCTGATTTTGGTGCACGGAGAGAAATATTTAATAAAAATTACGTATCTTGATAAGAATTACGTATCTGAATCTCCTGTGAAAAATTACGATACCGTCACTTGAATTTTCTGAGTCGATTCCGTAATCGGTGAGCGAACTGAGTTCCGTAATTTTTACTGAACTATTTTCTCCGCATGGATTTATCGCTGCAGGTTGCTCTAAACGCGCGAACACTCGTGTTTTGAGAAAAAAAATAATGAATACTGAAGGATCGAGTTGTCATTCGTGTATTCGCCTGTACAGAGTTATTAATGACTTGAAACAATCGATATTTATTATTTTTCGATCAAGCACGAGGTGAGATAGTTCATGGTAATAGTAAATAAACACTTCAGGATTATTATCACTCGGGCTGGAATACTAATAGTTAATTCTGAATTGAGAATACAGTTAATTAGTTGTTGTTCCTCGTGAATAATGGATTTTTTGTTTATTTATGCAGTTGCGTTTTTAATAGTGTTTTAGTCGGGGTTTTATTGTAGTTTCACTGTTCACTATTCAGCAACGGACGAGGGATTGGACTGAGTGGGGCCGAGGAGATAGCACACGATTTCTGCAGAGCTCTGTGGGCTCGCGAATCGCACGGATGAACCATGCGGTGTGTGTTTACCACCACCAGACAACACACGAGAGGAAGGGAGTCCACTCTTACGAGCTGGGTTTATAATTATTCTGTAATGAGTCGGGTTTTACGTGTGGATTTGTCGGGTGATTGGGGGAGCGGGGGTTTTTATGTCGTGGGGATTGAATTGATTATCGGGATGATTAGTTATTGACAATCTTTATTATCATGCATACATAATTGTTGTCGGCACTTGTCGAGCTTGATTTTATGTACACGGAGAGAAAAGTTGGATGAACATTACTTAAAAGATCGTGATGAATTTTACTATACACTGTTGAAAATTTTTCGCAAGTAATACCACGAGAGCTTCAAAATTATCGAGCAATTCCCGATAGGTTCGTTGCAAACAAACGAAGGAGTCAGGTTTTTCAAGAAAAATCACGCGTGCTTCGCACTCGTCATTTTTAACCTGAAAAACTTGACGACTTCGTTTGTGTGCAGGGAACCTTGAAGGAATTACTCGATTAATTTTGAAGCTCGAGTAGTATTCGCGAGGGAATTTTCCCATCCAAATGTCGGCCAAAAGAATTGCATTATGAGACAAAATCCATCTGACAGTTCCAACCAGGGGGTCACTCGACTACAAAGTTGTGTAATTTCGGAATCTTTTGTTTTCCACAAATATAGTCAACATGAAAAATTACCAGTTGAATTATCAAAAATTATCAGCTGAATACCGTGTTGACTATATGAAATAACAGTCGAATAGTGCAATTCTATTGGCTGACATTTGGATGCGGAAAATTTTCACTGAAATTTCTGGTACACTGAGAACAAAAATTTCTAATATCTGAAACATATTTTCTTGAGACGAGTAAATTTTCTTCAATTGCTTAATTCTCTCAGGCATCTCAACTCACATGACCCGAGAAAGGCCTCATGCTTTAAAATATTCTTGTACTCAAGTATGATTTTGTCGCACATGAACTTACTCAAATCGCGTAGAAGAATCGTCAATCTTCTAGTCTTTATTGTTTTCATGATTTTTTCGTTTTGCACTTGCAATATTGCAATATGTAAAATATTCATGACGTAACGCGGAACGATAGTGATGAATGAAAATTTATTCGAGTTCCGTGAAGTGGACACGTTCTGAAAATAATTTACTTCTCTCAAGAAAATATGTTTCAGATATTAGAAATTTTTTTTCTCAGTGGAAGGGTCTTGGAAATTTCTAATAAGTAACACTTCTACTGAAATGTCGAGGAATTTTGTCACTGAAAATCCACAATTTCATGGAAAAATCCGTGGGAACCGTAAATTTCAATTTAATTATTTCGGATAATTAATGAAAATCTGGAATGTTCAGAGAAATCTGTCCTTGAAGTCAAGATTCCTCTAAATTTCCAGAGAATTCCTTCAAATATTCCTGGAATTCTAAGAATTTTAAAGGAATTGGCTGAAAAGTCAAAGGAATTTGGCAGTGAATATTCATTTTCATTTAAAAATTGCTATAAATTGTGTAATTTCTGTCTTCCTGCCACTAAAAAAATAGGACTTTACTTGATCTTTCAGAGAAATTTTAAATTCCATTGATTTTTTCCCCTTAAATCGAATGTAAGGTCTATTTTCGGAAAATTTTGCCGAATTTTTTAACAGTGAAGCCCACTATGTCGCACAAACGAAAGAACTCCTATGGGAAACATCTAAACTCTCCCTAGAACATTATCACAAAATTCCCTGTAGAAATTACTCTGGAAACTTAGTCAATTAGTCATCCATTATATGTAGATGTCAACTCCAAACTTCCATAATCCGGTATTTCCCTGCAATTTCCTTCTTTGATTTTGTAAGCATTGTCATTAGTGACTATTTTGTGCTATGAATGGAAAATGATTTCCATAGATCGATGGAGTATCGAATGAAGGGTAATTATTCTCCCTAATTCGCTCGGTTTGGACGAATATACATGTAAACTCTCATAATTTTGTCGAGTTTGCCAGTAACTAGAACTATTGTTTTTTTAATTATAGTTCCGGTGAAAATTACCGAAAGTCCGCTGTATTGCACACACGAAAGAACTCCTGTGGGAAACATTTAAACTCTCCCTAGAAACTATCACAAAATTCCCTGTAGAAATTACTCTGGAAACTTAGTCAATTAGTCATCCATTATATGTAGATGTCAACTCCAAACTTCCATAATCCGGTATTTCCCTGCAATTTCCTTCTTTGATTTTGTAAGCATTGTCATTAGTGACTATTTTGTGCTATGAATGGAAAATGATTTCCATAGATCGATGGAGTATCGAATGAAGGGTAATTATTCTCCCTAATTCGCTCGGTTTGGACGAATATATATGTAAACTCTCATAATTTTGTCGAGTTTGCCAGTAACTAGAACTATTGTTTTTTTAATTATAGTTCCGGTGAAAATTATCGAAAGTCCGCTGTATTGCACACACGAAAGAACTCCTGTGGGCAACATCTAAACTCTCCCTAGAACACTATCACAAAATTCGCTGCAGAAATTCCTCTGGAAACTTAGTCAATTAGTCATCCATTATATGTAGATATCAACTCCAAACTTCCATAATCCGGTATTTCCCTGCAATTTCCTTCTTTGATTTTGTAAGCATTGTCATTAGTGACTATTTTGTGCTATGAATGGAAAATGATTTCCATAGATCGATGGAGTATCGAATGAAGGGTAATTATTCTCCCTAATTCGCTCGGTTTGGACGAATATACATGTAAATTATCGTAATTTTAACGAGTTTGCCAGTAACTAGAGTTATTGCATTTTTAATTACAGTTCCGGTGAAAATGACCAAAAGCCCGCTATATCGCACAAACGAAAGAACTCCTGTGGGAAACATCTAAACTCTCCCTAGAACACTATCACAAAATTCGCTGCAGAAATTCCTCTGGAAACTTAGTCATTCTATATAAATGTCACATCCAAAGTTTCATAATCCATTATTTCCCTGCAATTTCCTTCTTTAATTTTGTAAGCGTTGTTATTAGTGACTATTTTGTGCTATGAATGGAAAATTATTGCAATAGATCGATGGATCATTGAATGAAGTAATGAATGGGTAATGATTGCCCCTAATTGGTTCTGTTTGTGTAACGAATTTTCTGATGGAATGCTCAGTCAACCGATCGATTAGACAACAGATCGATTGGACAATTTCTCAGAATCTCCAAGCCGCAATAGAATTCTCGCCTCCGACTTTCGGGAATAGTCAGCATCTGCAATAGATTCGAATGACGTAATGGATTTAATTAAAAAGGAAAAGGAGCTCTCAATTCCCTTGTTAAGGTCGTTACTTTCACTCGGCGTCATGAAAGAAATAATTCGTAACGCCAGTTACCGCTATTTGTAAACATCGAGAACTTATTGTGATTGAACTAGACAGTGGATGCAGGTGTTTTAACCATGGACTTTGGGTATGAGAAATAAAATGAGAGTGCAGTATTTTTTATGAAATATAAAAACGATTTATAGCTTTGAATTTTTGTCACATCACGCCTAACAAATACTCTATTGTTGCTGGATAATTGTTCAATCGAACGAGAGTTGACGGAATGATCCGTCAATTCCGAATAGATCGTCCTGAGTCTTTGGCTTGCCGAGTCTCAATGCTTCGTTAGATTTAACTGTCTCTTGCTCCTTGAACCATGGCCTGTAGTCTTCTAATTTCTTCATCCAAGTTTCTAATGAAAAGGAGAGAAACATTAAATTAGACGATACTTTGAACAATTTGCTTCGAAAAAATCAATAGAAAAAATGAGTAGATTGAATTTTTTCGTATACTTTATTCCGTTCAAATATTTTTTATTGAAAATTCTGGCCATGAATTCTGATATTTTTTCACTGCTTTTTTTTCGTCTGTAATTAACCCTCGATCACTCGCTTAATGAGCCCGGCGCCGTTTTTGTTTTTGTTTACCGTTTTTGTTTTTTTAAAAATATTTTAGCTTGTTTCTCGATGCTTAAAAATTCTGAAAAAAATTAGTTTTTAGTTCAATCTTTTTATTAAGCATCGGTGTTATCCATTTTTTTCTCGGGAAATTTGTTTAGCTAAAAAAAGAAAAGAAACGTCGAACGGACAGAAAAGCGGTGCCACGCCGCTTTTCTATTACTATTAACTATTCGTAACTATTAACTATTCACTAACTGCGAACTATTAACTACTAACTATTAACTATTCGTTAATAGTTACCAAAAGCATATTTGAAGAGCTTTGTTTGACTCGACTTTCACCTTTCCAGTGAATCATTCGTTAACTATTAACGAATATTTATTTGGTCATATTCAACTCTATCATTCGTTAATAGTTACCAAAAGCATATTTGAAGAGCTTTGTTTGACTCGACTTTCACCTTTCCAGTGAATCATTCGTTAACTATTAACGAATATTTATTTGGTCATATTCAACTCTATCATTCGTTAATAGTTAACGAATCTCGTTTGAAATGAATGATCAGTCTATCAGTGCATAGGAACAGAATAGGCCTCTTGCAATTTTTCTATAAAATTCACAAGGCAAAAAAAAATAAAAGAAAGAGACGTGATAATTACCATTGATTGTAATAATGGATCCAGCGTCACCTCCGTACTCCGTGGGTAGAATTTCCCTCGGTATGTAATCATAAAGAGTATTAATATCGCTGTGCATGAAGATACGGTTCCTAATTTTCTCCTTGAGGAAAGGCTTGACGAAATTAACAATGGAATCCACCAAGGGGCTGACATTAATCACGTGAATCTCCTTGAGCTTCACTGGATAAGCCTCTTGCACGCAAACGAGGAATTTCTTAACAAGACTAGGCGTGAACTTGGCAAAGTGCGAGGCTGTTGCGACAGCTGCGTCGAGGATGTATACATCCCCAGCTACGCCAACGAGCTCCTCCTTCAGACGTACATCTCCTATCATCATGACGAGTTTCATGGCCTCGGCGACGTTGGGGGTTGGGAGATTCTTATCTAATCCGCGCATTATTATCACACGGCGGCCGTTCTTCGTGAGACCAGGCAGTGGTGGAATTTGACTATTGGGTTGAATGTCGAATGAATCAATATGGAAACATTGATTTCATTATGGGACAAAAAAAGAAATAGACAGAGAAAATTCTGTTGTACGAAAGGTACAGGTGGAACAACAATTTGTAGGAAAACCTAGCGAATTCTCTAAATAGTTCTATTGGACTTATATTAAAGTTTTCATCTTTGTTTGGCCGGTACTATCAAAAAATTGTGCAGCTTATCTGCGCTTTTTTTAATGTTCAGTGGAAATATTCTATAGGAAAAATCAATGGAATTTGATATACATAATAAAGAGGAAAGAAAATGGAATTGAATAGTTGAAAATGGAATTTGATAGTTTTTTTAATGTTCAATGGAAAATATTCTATAGAAGAAATCTCAATAGAATAAGATGAATAAAAAAATCGAATTCCATTGATTTTGAATCAATGGAATTCGATCTTTTTATTCATCTTAATCTACTGAGATTTTTTCTGTAGAAATTCCCGGGCTCAAGTTTTTTTGTGTTATTGTTCCAATGGAAAAAGAAGAAAAATAAAGTGGGAAAAACTTGGAAAATTCATCTCGAGAAATCCCGATAGAAAATGTATAGAAAGATGAAATTATCCAGATTTTTTGTTAGAGAAAAAAATTTTGTCGAAAAACCTGGTGAATTCTTTTGAAAATTCTATTAGATTTCCATTAAACTTTCGATCATCATTTGGCCGGTTTTATTGGGAAATAGCGCAGCTTATCTGCACTTTTTTTATGCTCAATGGAAAATATTCTATAGAAAAATCAATAGAATTCCATTTTTATTCAACTTATTCTACTGAAATAATTTCCATAGAAATTCCTCGGCTCAAATGTTATATATTTTTTTATTAAATTTTTTCAATGGAAAGAGAAGAAACATGGAGCGTAAAAAACTGGGAAAATTCATTTATAGGAGTTCCTGTAGAAAATGTCTCAATAGAAAAAATTGTACAGAAAAATGGAATTCGCCTGATTTTTTCTATAAAATTGTTTCTATTGGACATTTTCTTTTAAAAAAGGGCAGTAAAGATATTCACAGGAAAAATTCTCATAATTCTTTTCAAATTTAGGAATGAGAATAAGTTATCGTAATCATTATGATAATTTTACGACCTAATTATCACAATGATGAACAAAAGTAAATATACTAACATAAGCGTTGCGAGATCCCTCATCTCGGGAGTCGTGATATCCCGATTGCTGAAAAATTCTGGAGCCGCTCCTCTCATCGTAAAATACATGTCTAATTTCTTTTTACATTTCTCCAAGGAGAATTTACAACCCCTCAAGAAGGTCATTAGTCTGTAATCATCTGTCAAAATTTAATTCAATTTATATCTTAGTCAAATTATGTAAACATCTCGAAGACGAGTGGATCGGGAAAAATGTCGAGAGATCTTTCCGTCGCCCGGTGAATGTTCAAATAACAAAGACGTCTCGTCATTCTTCTGCAAATTCGATATTTATCGCTGTAATTTCACATTCAACAAGATAAAATTCCATGAATTACTGAATACATTAAATGAATCTTAAGATCATCTTTCATTTCGCTTCGTGAAGATAATTTTAAATTCATTTTCGTTTTATTTTTATATAGATTTAACCGCATAAAGCCAATTGCAAGATAAAATTTATATGGATAAACGTTCAACAATTAATTTGACGATTATTTGTATTTTTTGGAGGACAAAATGCTCATGGCGGTTTGTAAATCGCGATGGTGACATCATTGTGGTAGTCGTAGTTAAATTGAAATTGAAGTTTTTTTTTTCTTATCTAAATGAATTGATTTTCTCAAGTTCATAATTTTACCAAAAGAATCCGGCAAATGCGGCTGCTTTTTCAGCCACTCTTTGATAATCTGTACGTCCTTGTCTCTAGTCTCCACATTCTCATTGAGTTCAACTCTGATGAGCTTGGACATTTCCTCGGTCGGTTGTATCAGCATCTGAAAATACGAGAGAAAAACATCGGCAATTAGCATTATACCGCGCTATTTCTCGTACCGTAATACATGTCATTACATGAACTATTGATGAACAAAAAGAGGGACAATTCCATAATATTGAACGCGGATATTTTCCTAGATCGAGAGCCGAATCGAAATGAATTTTGATTCGTTTTTTTTCGCTATCGATTATAATGATTCCGCGAAGAGAGGATCATTACCATCCGCGTCATACTAAATAAACGATCGATCAATGAAATCCATTAACAACTGTTTTTCGAAGAATCCTATGCACAAAGATAAAACAACACGAATGAAAAAATTTCATAGTAAAAACAGCGCATTTGCTGGAAAATTCTATTAGATTCCGATAAAAATTTCTATTTATTTTGACCGATTCCATTGAAAATTCCGCAGCTTGTCTGCGCGTTTTTTTCAATAAAACTGTTCAATGGAAAATATTCTACAGAAAAAAATCAATAGAATTCTATTTTTCTGTAAAACTTATTTTTTAGATATTTTCGATTGAGATATTTTCTATAGAAATTATTTGGCTCAATCTTTCCAAGTTTTTTTGTGCGATTTTTTTTTATGAAAATGGAAAAAAAATGGAGTGAAAAAATTTGGAAAATTCATGTCGAAGAATTCGGATAGTCAATGTCTCAATAGAAGACGTTGTGTAGAAAGATAAAATTCTACTGATTTTACCTAGAAAATAATTTCTATTGGACATTTTCTATAGCAAAAAACGAGTAAAAGAGCTGTGCAATTTTTCAATAGTTAAATTTGCCGGAATTTTCATCAGAAGTTCATCAGAATTTCAATGGAATTTTCCATCGAATTTGCCAGGTTTCCTTAGTCTGGTCACCACACGCAGCCCTGCGTTGGTCACCTCCGCGGGTATGTGCCGCATGCGTTATTTAGGCCCCAGCGTTGCCGAATTCACTCCACACTGCTCACGCGCGTGTAGCGAGTTTCCGGCAACATCGCGTAACGTGCAATTTCATTTAACATGGGAAAAATATCATAGTTTTGAGGCTTTCGCGGCCATGATAATGGGAAAAAATCATTCATCTATTGCAAATAATCGGTTTTCTTCAGGAATTTCGGGAATTATGTTGTTCTAAAACTACTGTAATATTTTAGACACTTCAATTGACAACTTCAATTTTTTCTACATTTTCTCGGTTAACCAGTCAATGGAAATTGAAGAAAAACGACGCGCTGCGATGTTTTCTTCGTGGGGTGCCTAACCTAGGGTTTAGTAAATGCTCGTGCCTGGCATTTTTCTTGCGACATAATTACACAATGGAAAAAATGAGTGAGAACGGAATGACAAAGTGAACATATTCTGAATTTTAACTCCGTATTAAGGATATATAGTTTTACCCAAGAAATTCATGATGACCGAGTCTGCATTGCTCAAGCGGAACTTTCACTTACTCTTCGCTGAGTCGACTGAAAAATTCGCGGATAATCGAAAAGTCGAGTCAGAGGAAAAAGTGAATGTCCTGAAGAACTAATTATTAATACTGATTGTCATTCATTCAGTTCGTAAGTTGAAACCTCTAAATTTAGACGAGACATGTAGGTGGTATTGAATGTTTTCGGATCAATTACTGTTTTCAAAGTTGAATTAGTTCGTCGAGATCAACGCACAGAGCACAGTGAAAGTTTCGATGGGTTACGACAGACTGTCTGGTGCAGGATACTTTTATGATCACCGAAACTCATTGAGAAATTCGTAAATCGGAGGCTGTGGTTATTTGACAATTGATTGCGTTAAATTATGCAATAATGGCGTTTGAAATATTCTCAACGTATTGAAATATGAAATGTGTGAAAAATGTTTTTATCTTGTGCAATCGTTTTTTTACATTTCTTGTCTTTAAACAAAGTAAGGGAATAAATACAGCAGTGGAGTAGGAAAAATCAGCAGAGCGTGTTGATAGGCATGAAAATATGTAGAAAAGTTGTGATTTGAAAAGAAAGACACGAGTGAATAAAGTGAAGGGAATTCTTTCAAAATTTGATGAGAATTTTAGTAAATTTTCTCTTCGAAATTCCGTTTGTTCTTTTGAAAATATTCAGTAGCAGATTGATTTTTATTTTTCTAAGACTGACTTGCTGGAGATTGTTTTATCTTGCATTTTTAATTCTTGAATTTTTTTTCATTTCCCACTGAAATTCAAGAGACAATTCAGTAGCGGGAATTTAAGGGAGATATCAAAATTTTTGCAATGACCTTTTTTGTAGCTCTCAGTTACTCTACAAAAAAGGTCGTGGCAAAAATTTCGGGATCTCCCTTATATTCGGAGATATTCTTGAAAAACTCAGCTGAGGCCTAAATCGACTAAAAATCAGCGACAAATAACGAAAAACAAATGACCTTGAAAAATTGTCTCTTAAATTTTTTTTATTCTGCGCCGACTCTTCGTGGAAATAACTCAGTACCAAATAGGACGTCAGAGGCTCAACAATGGAATTTTCTTACCTTGAAAATTCGATATTTCCTTTATCCAATAAAAACAGAGCAATCCAATCAGTCACAATTGAATTGAATAAAAGCGAAGTGGAAGCCTCTGCTGTCCGTCCGGCTGCAGTTATCCCGGAAGAACTCACCAAAAACTGATCCCAGGCGATTATTAACAAATTCTCAACCAAACACTGAACGCACACAGTCTGACCAAAGAGATGGAGAACGTTTTGCGGAGTGGGAACGATCCAACGTGGACCGGTTCTCCTTATATTTCATTTTACATCCCCACTACAATCGCGCCCCCCTCCCACAATGTTTACCTAAATGCGATTGTTACAATCGAATTGCTACAATCTTCAAAAAAATTATGATATTTCTTTTTGTTGAGAGAGAAACTCCTTCACTTCGCGTTGTCACTTGCGACCTTTCTTGTGTTTCCTTCCCCATGCGCCGAGAAAAAAAACTATTTTTGACAGGTGACTCGTTACTTCAGTCGAGAAATTTATAGCTTGAAAATTTTCAAGAGCAACATATTTTAGACTGAGAGGAAAAATCGTTTGTCAAGAGATTTTGTACTTGTGCGGAAAATGAGGGCAATTGGTTCATAACAAAAAAGCCACTTCCCAAACCAAGTAAAGTGGTTTTTGAATGAAAATGTTGTTTTTTATTTTCAACAAAATTTGTTGCAAGTTTCTGTAAAAACTTGCAATTGACCGTCACCCGAGGGACGGGAGCCAAAGAATGAAAATATTTTGAATTTGAGACTAGAAAATTATTGAATAAATTGTTTCCACTAAACTTGATTTGAGAAATTATTGTTTTGTAATAAACGAATTGATCTCGTCTTTAAACCAAATCTCTTGACAAAAGTTTCTCGATTCAAGCAGACGCGTTTTTCAAGAAACTTGTGTTTCAGGGCTATTTGCATCGTAAAAAAATGTAGTTATGTGCAGGTTGAACTGCAGTATATGCTTTCAGATGAAAGATCTACCAATTCTCCTGAGCCGAACCTCTCCTAACGATTTTCTGTCGTCAAATGGACTTTCATTAACACTTTTGCTTTTAGTTAGTGTTATGTCTTTTTTTTGCTAACACAATACTCCTGATGTTATGACTGTTTCTGTTAACACAACACTTTTTTCCAGGGCAAAAAATTTTATTCCACGTCAGCTCTTCTTTCTAGAGTTACTAATGAGTTATGGGGGAAATGAGAAATGAGGTACTGGTTGAAGAAAAGGGGAATTCCATAACTAAAAGAGAATTCTTGTTGATGGACATGTGTAGACCAGAACTACTGGATTTTTTTTGGTTTTGTATTTTTTCAGAATTTTCTAATGGGACACGAGTTTTTTTGCGTGGACTGTAAGTGAGACAAATCGAGCGGCAATTTAACTTATAAATTTTCAAGTTCCCGGTAGAATTCATGCAAATTCAAATAGATTTAAGTAGAAATAAGACAAAATTTCATAACTACTTGAATTTTCAATAAATCAAATTTATTCACCCGAATAATTGAATTGGAATTATGAATTTTTACTGTATTCACTCATTTTCAGTAAATAATTGAGTAAAATTTAGAATTTTCATTGATTTTTCCATCAGATTGTTGCTTTCTAATGTCAAAATTTCGATATTACTATTGTTTTCATTATTATTAAGTTGTTGGATGTTGGATGTTTTTATAAATCTATATCATGAGAAAAAAATAATGACCATTTGTTTAATTCTGTCACGTGAAAATGAAAAAAAAAATCATTTCACGTCGACTTATCTCGCAAAAGCCAAACAATCATCAATGACTCATGTAGGAAACCGAAAAAAACTCCCCACAAATAAAAAGAAATTGTAGACACACATTAATCCAGGTACACATTAAAAACAGGATTACGATAATCTCGGTAAATCGTGACGAAAGCCACTCGCATGCCCCATGTGTCATGAGGCAAAACGTGAAATTTTTCGTAACATTAGCTATCCCCCGGAATGATAATTGCCTTTGTTGAGTTGTAACGTGGAAAAAAAATGGAAAAATTTCTACCGCATGTCAGTGCATTGAGCGTTGCACAGGGCAATTTACCATCCAGGATGTCAATGATTGTCGTCGTGCATGCGGGACGACCTTAATTAGATCGAGAACAGTAATCCAAGATATTGCGAAGGTGAATCAAGCCTTGACTTTTCCCTGCAAATATTTTCCCTTTTTATTCGTAACCGAATGTTTTCCTTTTCGATTCATTTCATTTCACATGCACTGTTAGGGAAAAAAATGAAATTCGATGAATAGTTGAGTAGTCATTTTCAGAAGAGCGACAGTGAAGTCTATTTAGTTGAGAAAAATCGTAAAAATTACTATTTCACTGAAAATTTAATGAAATTAGACATTTTTGAGCAGCAGGAAGACGAGAATTCTCCTACTTACTTGAATTTTCAATGAAAACATAAATATTTAGTCCCAGAATTAATTGAACATCCAAGAATACATTGACCTGAATTCTCATGAGTTCTGTTAATTTTTACAGTATAATTAAAGTAAAATTTACAGTTTACATTCATTTTTTCATCAAACTTCGAATTTTCTGTGACGAAATACCTTGAAATTTCAGATTTGTCATTTGATTGAAATTTCTAAGAACTGTACCGAAAATTTCAGCCGAAAATTTTTTGAATTTCTATGAAATAATTGAACTGAAATTAAGAATTTTCAATGACGGAATTCCTTGAAATTTCACTGGATTTGTCACTTGCCAAAAATGCCCGTAGCATACCAGTGCGAAAATGTGAAATGAACTCATTACTTCACGCAAATCCACATGAAAATATTTATTTCATTCCTTCACAATCACAATTTATTATTCATAAACATAAAAAAAATTAACTTGCAGTATTCGCAAACTTCAGGATTTAAGGATTGAAATTATAAGATAAGCAAAACCAAACGAATCGAGGATTTTCCCATGAAGTCCTACGGCACAGGAAGCAGAATCTGAGCGGGGCTCCGGTACAAAATCAGTTGTCGTGCCCTCACTGGAGGTGCACTCAGTCTCCGTATTCCCCTCACTCTAAGCAGCAAAATTTCCACAAGTTTAATATTATTTCCTCCGAATGTTTTCATTCGTTTTATGAACTCACTGAGCTCGTTTCCGACGAAATTTCCGGTGGATTCTCTTCGACATTCATCTCGTCGACAGTCTCGGACATCTGGCAATAAAAAACTCAGTTTTATTCGAGTCATTCGGAAATAAACGATGAACTTTGGCGCGCGAGAGAGAAAGGAAAGAGTGATGTTCGGTGTTTGGTCAGGGTTTCACCTCATCCTCATCGTCAGAACGCGCGACTCGTCTCCTTGGGGTGTCATGCAGTGAGAGAGACAGTGGAGGCCGATCCTGATGGATTTCACGAGCATTTTCAAGAGTCCATTTTATGACCTTTGGGATATCGTAGATTGTGTGGGTTTTGTTGATGAGAGTCGAACCAGGTCCACTTGTGAAAACTGGAATGCCCCTGTCATCGTTGTTTTGCAAAGCGGTTAAGATCACGAGAGTGTCATTGATGGAAGTCTGGGGAATAAAATAATTGGGATATTTTTATTTCCATATTTTTGGAGGATCTCCGAGTGAGACGGCACACTTAAAACAAGTCGGAAATTGCTCTTGTATTGAAAATAGTACAGCTGTTTTTGCTGATAAATTAGCAATATCCACTGAGAGTAAAATCTGAAGTTCTATTTAAAATAAGAAAATAGTTGAGGCAGTTTTGGTGAACGATACGATTTTTTTTTTATGTGGCACATAACATTATAGTAAGTTCACAAGCGTAATTTTTGCAAATCAAAATGGTGTTAAACTAATCAAAGTTCAAAAGTAACCACGATAAATGTATCGTGAGTAGAACTATAAAATAGTTGCAATGACTACATTCCATTGTAGTAATTACTTCTCCGGCCATAGTTACCGTAACCCATGAAAAATTGTTGAGGACTTTTTTACTATAGTTCTATGGTGATGGAATATAGTCAGAAGAATTATACTTTTCTCTCAGTGTGCTTCCGAATAGTTATTTTGCAGATAATTTCCTTCCATCATGTGTAATTCATTGCTTATTCATTTTATTAAAGTGAATGAGATTTGTTTTTCAACTAGTTTTGTCAGATTTTCAAATTAGTTGAATGTTATCATCATCATTATTCTGATTATTCCTTTTTTCTGTACAACTAATTGTTTTTTTTACGGTTCTATCGCTCCCCTCAGCCCTTCGATAAAATGTTGATAGAAAAATGTTATTTATGCATAATTGAATGAATTTTAAACATCACATTTGAAGAAACCATCAGAAAGCTCACTTTCAGGGGAATTCGTGAAAAATTCGAAATTTTCAAAAATCAACATAAAAATTAAATCAACGAATATAGCTATTTTAATCATGGTTTACCTTCGAATTAGTGGCATTAAAACCAACATTCTAAGCTATGATTGAATTCATTTGAAGCGTGATATCCAAAGATATCTCGGCAATCCGCATTTTCAAAAAATACAGAATTTTTGCAAATTTTCAAATAAATCAAAATAAAGATTATTGATGTCGCCTTTAACTTCGAACTCGGTCAAAAGGACATACAGATTTTTTAAACCGTCATTCAAACAATTCAGAGCATTTTTTTAGTTATCGTAAAAAAAAACTATTTTCATCACAATGTGTGGAAAAGGGACGTTTTAGGCACGCGAAAAATATCGTTCGATACTCGTGGGAAAAGTGTTTTTTGGCTCGTGGGAGGTTTATATCACTCGCCTTCGGCTCGTGCTATTCATCGTGTTTTCATTCGTTTTATGAACTCACTGAGCTCGTTTCCGACGAAATTTCCGGCGGATTCTCTTCGACATTCATCTCGTCGACAGTCTCGGAAGGTTTATGGACTCGCCTTCGGCTCGTGCTATAAACCTCCCACGAGCCAAAAAACACNTTCAAATTAGTTGAATGTTATCATCATCATTATTCTGATTATTCCTTTTTTCTGTACAACTAATTGTTTTTTTTACGGTTCTATCGCTCCCCTCAGCCCTTCGATAAAATGTTGATAGAAAAATGTTATTTATGCATAATTGAATGAATTTTAAACATCACATTTGAAGAAACCATCAGAAAGCTCACTTTCAGGGGAATTCGTGAAAAATTCGAAATTTTCAAAAATCAACATAAAAATTAAATCAACGAATATAGCTATTTTAATCATGGTTTACCTTCGAATTAGTGGCATTAAAACCAACATTCTAAGCTATGATTGAATTCATTTGAAGCGTGATATCCAAAGATATCTCGGCAATCCGCATTTTCAAAAAATACAGAATTTTTGCAAATTTTCAAATAAATCAAAATAAAGATTATTGATGTCGCCTTTAACTTCGAACTCGGTCAAAAGGACATACAGATTTTTTAAACCGTCATTCAAACAATTCAGAGCATTTTTTTAGTTATCGTAAAAAAAAACTATTTTCATCACAATGTGTGGAAAAGGGACGTTTTAGGCACGCGAAAAATATCGTTCGATACTCGTGGGAAAAGTGTTTTTTGGCTCGTGGGAGGTTTATATCACTCGCCTTCGGCTCGTGCTATACATCGTGTTTTCATTCGTTTTATGAACTCACTGAGCTCGTTTCCGACGAAATTTCCGGCGGATTCTCTTCGACATTCATCTCGTCGACAGTCTCGGAAGGTTTATGGACTCGCCTTCGGCTCGTGCTATAAACCTCCCACGAGCCAAAAAACACTTTTCGTGAGAAGACCCGGTGAACCCCGATTCTAACCTCGCTTCGCTCGGTTTGATCGCGGTTTACGGGCCTTCTGACGAAAAATTGCATTCATCACACGGTCCAAAAGTATTTTCTCGCCTTCGGCTCGGCCTACAAAGCCACATTCGTCAGAAAATACTTTGTGGACCTTGTGATGAAAATAACAATTTCCGCACTCGTAACGAAATATACTATTTCGACAAATTTTAAAAATTAAAAAAATTAATAAATGAATTAAATTCTACTTAATAGCTATTGATACAGCTCAACAATATCTACATTTAAGAAAACAAAAGATTCAATTTCATGAATTCATTAGCGCACAATCGAAAAAAAATTTGTGTACATACTAAAAATTACATTTTCGGACTTTTTGTTTTTGACCTAATTTTTTTCCAGAAATGAATTTTACTGCGGGAACATCCTGAGAGATGAAGTTTGAAAGAGAAAATAATAATTCAACATAGAATGTAAGAATACCATTCGTCGAAGTAGCTCTGAAATTTCGAATAATTCTTGGCTAGTCGCCACAGCAATCAGCAAATATCCGCTCTCCGACGGAATGGTCTGCAAATCTTGCAGAGTATTTGCCACGATGTCTACAATACCCGACGAATGTTTCGGGAATTTATCAGTGAAAATTCCCGACTGCGGCGTATCCCCATCATTCCTCCCAAAAGCTCCGTGGAGAGAGTCCAAGAAAGTCCGAAAAACTGCGAATCTAATCCTCGAGACGACGTCGAGGAAGTCCCATGGTTCTTCATTCACTTCTATCGTGATGACAAAAAAGAAGGAAATGGACAGTGAGCATAGCAGAGACGTCGTGGGGTTTTTCCATGTCGAGAGTACACATTATTAATGCAGAGAATAATAAAATTGTTTACCTCCTTCGGTGGAATATGGGTTGAAAGTCAAGGGGATCCCCACCCCAGAGTGATTTGCGTTGGCAGGGGAATTATTGACAGAGTAATTATCTAACTTCGTTGATGGCTCGAGAAAACTCAGAGGTATTTCCTGAGGCTTGTTGAATATTTTGGGGGGAAGAAGTGGCGGATTTTCGAAGTGAAATACTGAGGGCAACGTGAAATTTCCTCCGGAGACTGTGCCTGTAATTAATCAACTCGGTAGGAAAATCGCGGAACAGAATTGAATTTGACTCATGATGAGTTTTTGGTGAATATCACTTATTCTACCGTCAGTGGCTTAGTTAATGCCAGTAGGAGCTTTCCGTATCTTTAATGAAGGTGAAATAATTAGGGTTTTTTTCATAATTCATGAAATCTACGGGTTAAGTATAGAGCTGATACTGTTTTTTATGTTTGGGATTGATCTTTTCCCGTGTGAAAGGTTAAATGAATTGATATTTCAAAAATAAAAAACTTGAGATGACGCACAGCAGTGATTTTGTGGGCTAATAATGATGAAAATGACATTCGATCATCTATAAAATGCGAAATTAATAGAAAGATGATGTATATCACGCACGAAAAAATTTAATAGAAAAACCTAGTGAATTCGTTAGAAAATTCTTTTGGATTTCTATTGAACTTTCTATTAGCTTCCGACCGATTCTATTGAAATGTTCAATAGAAAAATCGAATTGTACGGATTTTTCTATACAACTTATTCCCTTCAGGTATTTTCTACAGAATTTTCTCGCCTGAAATTTCCTAAGTTTTTTTCATTCTATTTTTCTTTTCTTGTCATAAAAAAAATCAACTAAAAAACTTGGAAAATTTGAGCGGAGGAAATTCTATAAAAAATATCTCAATAGAATAAGTTGTATAGAACAATCGAATTCTTTTGACTTTCTTTATAGAATATTTTCTCTTGCACATTTCAATAGAATCGGCCGAAAACTAATAGAAAGTTCAATACAAATCCAATAGAATTGTCTAGTTCTCCTACTCTTCCAGTGGCAGTTACTAGGCCATTGGCGGTATTGGAGATTTTTAAACGGACACCCACACCAAAACATTTCATATGAAAACCTGACGAATTCGACAGGAAATTCTATCGGATTCCTAACTTCTACAGAATATTCTATAGATTTTTACCGATTCCGATGAAGAATTCCACATACACTGTTAAAAATTTTCGTCTGAATTTTTCGTGCCAAATTCCGGCAATTTTTATCATGCTCAAGTCCCACTGAAATTTCAGAAAATCTTGTCATTGAAAAATCAAATATTCCGTTGATTTTCGGTTCAAATGACCCGGAAATCAATAAAATGGTAAATTATTCTGTGAAAATTCAGAAAAATCAGGAAAATTCAGGAAAAAAGTGGAAAATTCATGTCCTTTTGTTTCTGAATATTCATGTTCCACTGAAAATTCAATCAAGTTGTGAAATTTCCATCTCACTCCCACGAAAAACTCATGAATTTCCGTGAATTCTACTTAAAACTTGAAATTTCATAGCCCCTTTTTCCCTAAATCCGATTCAGTGTCACTCTCATGAGATTTACTATAATACCTTGCATGCAATTTCAAAAAATTTCCAACAGTGTACCCATCGAATTCACGATACAAATAACTGGATATTACCAATACTCATGTGTTTAGTCTGCCTCGCCCAAAGCAGTAGATCATTGATACCATCCTTGAGCATCTGTTTCCACTCGCAATTCACTTTTCCACTTTCAGAAACGTTTCTCAACGAAACTTGCTTGGAACATTTCTATTAAAAACCCAAAAGTCGTACGATATAAAAGTCGAGCCGACCTATTATTCAAGACAAATGAACCTGTAGAACGCCTTCAGTGAGGAGAGTCGCGTTATCCTTGAACTTCAGCCATTGATCATAGCTCTCGGCGCCCTCCAGCAGCACGAGAATCACGTTTCTGGGATTTTTTCCAGTTTCATTCTCATGTCCGTCGGTTAAATCCTTGACGAACGGCACCAACGGCGACTTCTTCACGTTGTCGTGCATTCTCTCCGGAAAGAGGAAGCGATGCAGCAGAGATTCATGAGCATTTAAATGTTTTCGGTATCTGTCTGGTTCGAAAGTACGATGGATTCTGGTTGTTGACTTTGTGCTGTTGTCGACACCATCGGCAGAAGCGTTGTGACTCCCCTCGCAGTAAATCAGGGATGTCCCGAGTATCGACAGGAGGATGAAAACCCTCATCGTACTTATTCACTGGGGAAGGAAAATTAAACAACAAGGATTGAGGAAAATTTAACAAGGAAGCACGTATGAAAAAATCGTACAGAAATTTTCTATACGGATTGCGTATAGAATTTCTATAGGATTTTCATAGAAATTCCCCAAAACTACTTAATGTAGAATATTAATTATCTCACAATGGCGAGAAAGAAAAGAAAATCGAATGAACTATCAAAAACCACTTGTATTAAAAAATAATTAGCCAACTATGTCGACAGCGAATGGATTCATAAAAAAATGCCAAATATGAACCTTTTTACTTCATAACTCATCAGCATTAATATAATCGACATAATTTCCCAGCCCCTAAAAAACGACAAATCAATTTTAGGCATTTCGTTACCGAAATAAATTATCAATATGAAGTATTCACCACCTGAGCAAAATATCTAGAAACTTTTCCACCTTGAACCACTCATTATCTCACAATCATCAAAATATAAAATTACTCCAGCTAAAAAAAGCTTTTGACATTTTCCTCTAAAACCACTCACTCCGTAGTTAATTACGCACATTTGAAGAGTCATGAAAATGCTGGAAGTGTTGAATTAGTCTCCAACGAATGTTTAATTATCTCTGTAATGAGTGCTATTAGAGCAAAAAGTTTACATGAATTTTCTCCTCAAACCACTCACGATTTCCCAATTAACAAAATATAAAAACTGCTTCATCTGCCTAGAAGCTTTCTTGGCATTTTCCCCTGAAACCACGTGTTCTGTAGCGACTAATCAATTTCCGTAATTCCATGACCGCAATAAATTATCCAAAAATGCCCTCGAAAATAAATTTCCTCAATTCCAAAACCCCCAAAACGACTCAATGTAAAATATTCATCACCTCATAACTGCGCCAAGATAAGATCGATACCGTGTAACTTAAACGAATAACCCAAGACTCATTAAATAAATAACCTTTGACATTGAGACCTTCTCCCCCCTTTATTCCTTAACTTATCGTCGCATTCATGTACAAACATAGCATTCATCTTCCTGAATGATTAATATCGAAAAACGACAAAACCTGTCTACAGTGACGTGATCCAGCTAATTTCCAAATCGATCGACAGCCGTTCCACATATTACCCTAATGAATTGTGGCAGTGGAAAAAAAATAGGAATTTCTGCCGTCTTAAACTCGGCTTAATTGATGTAAAATTCAAGGGGACACAAAGCCAAGGCTTTCTATCCCTATTGTCATTAGTAATCTATTGAATTTAAAACTTGAAAACTCGAGTGCATTGAGTACATTGTAATCTACCTTCAGCAATTTTCCCCAGAGCCTCTCTACCAACAATTCAGTCCAATTTCTCTCAATATTTGTCTTCAACTTTCTAGTGGTCCCTCAAGAAAATCCACAGACTTCAGTCACATTCTTTGCTAAACAAAAACCTTTCGCGCAAACATCCGTCTCTGGGGTGACGAAAAACAATGGAAACCCGAGAGGCGTTTTGAATTTTCATCATTTGGGTTTAAAGTGCGATGTGTTTGACTGCACAGAGAGAAAAATTGAGGGAAAATTACTGAATTATTATTCTCAACTGTAACCGTGGAGCGAATTGTGATTTCGAAAAATACGCTGTGAGAGTTCAGCGTTTCGTCAAGAAGAAAAATGTCTCGTGTGAATGCGAAAATTACTTTATTTCTGAATTTTTGGAAAAGTATTTTGACTCACGGGGGAATTTCTTACCTTGTGAAGTAGAAAATATGCTTTCGGTCGGGGTTTTTGACGCGAAAACATTGAAATTTCATGAACATTTCGGTAATAGTTTTCATGAAAAATCGTAAAATTTTTTTTTTTTATTTTCAATAATTGCAAATTTTTGAGCGGCAGAAGGGCTAGGATTTCTCAACTTTTCTTATTTTTAGTGAAAACATGAGTATTAAGTACTAGATTATCATGAATTTTTAATTATTTGAAGATTAAAGAACATAATTACCTGAATTTTCCGAATTTCTATTCGTTTTCATAAAATAGTTGAATTACTTAATAGTTAAATAGTTAAATTCCATAAAAAATTTCTCTCCGTGTAATAATGTAGGAAAAATGAACGGTTTAAACAAAGTTTTTCGCAATGAGAATTCAATTGTTGAATAATTTATTCGGAATCGTCATGGCCTCTTCATCTTCTTCTTCGTTTCTCTTTTGCTTTTTGCGTACTTTTTTATTTTTAGTATTGTATATATATTTTTTTTAAGTTAAAAAAATTGAAATATAAAAAATATATAAAATATATATTATATGATTATTATATGATATATACATGTATACTATGTTATATAGGTATTTTTTCATTACAGTAAGACATGAATTTCTCTTTTTTTACAATTACTGTAAACTACTATTTTTTTATGTACTGTATGTATTACAGTACATACAAAAATATACATAAACATCATATTACATTACTCGATAAGCGAATAGAGGCTTCAAAAATCGTTACACTGGATTTTTTTAAGTGGATTGCATGAAAGTCAGTAAATTTTTCAGCAAACGGACAAGATTCAAAATTCATTTTGCATTTTCGCTTTCGAAAGAAAGCATTGAATTCGTCAAATCCGGAATTTTCAATTGTCGCACCAGGATAACTACACTGTTACCAATTTCTTGAAATTTGAGTCACAGCGTCATCTGAATTTTCGATGTTGCGAGGTTGAATTAAATTTCAAATAAAAGCGTTCACTGAATTTCCAAACGCATCGTGAAAAGTGAACAATTCAATTTTCAATAGATTAAGAATTCAGAAATGTTGTGCCTGAATTAAAAAAATTTTCTCGGTTTTTCAGTGCCGTATGGACCCAAAAAAATCGAGAATTGCTTGAATAATCAAGAAATTAACTGATTCGTCAGTGAAGAAATATACCGAAATTTCATGTAACTCTGTCGGTGTTGACAATTCGTTTTTAAAAATTAATCTTCCCCCCACCTTGTCCCTCCGTGTGGAGTGAGGAATAAAAGATAGGGCTCGTCAATAACACAAAGTCGCTGAGCTTAAAAATACTGAATTATAGAGAGCTCTATCATCGTTCCCGGGTATTCATAAACTTGCGTCAATATTCAGTTGGTGACATATTTAGCCGCTGGCACATGTACGTCGCTCTATTTTCAATTCATCAACAAGAAAATTTTATCTATATATTGATTAGTCTTGATGTTGTTGAAAAAACTTGATGGAACTAAATGGAATATGCCTCGGACAGATGATAGATGGGGACTACAAAGCTTAATGGACAGAGCTGATATACTTCGTCATAATTTATTTCCATTCAGTTAATTGAAGAACAATATAACCTGTAAATTGCACAAATATACCCTGTTTTACCCCAGTGTATTATTCATTTTTAAATCCGCTCACAGACCTAAACCAAAGAAATTCCTGTATAAAATGTCCCACCAGAATGACCCATAATCGATTCAACATCAGAAAACCGCGGGCTTCCTCAAAAGAATCCGCCAAAAGCCGCTAAAATGTCCGAACGAGATTACACCATAAAATTTTGCGATAGATCATTACGGTCAGAAAAAACATCGAAAGTTTTGAAATCGTCCCATCTCGAAAAACATGAGATCGGTGCATCTCGTCACGATCTTGGGATTTTTTATATCGCCGAAAAAAGAAAAAAAAGAAAAAAAGAAAAAAAAGAAAAAAGTCGAGACCTAGGCAAAAGAACTGCTCAAAAAATCGTGACGAGATGCACCAACCCAATGTCTTTCGAGATTGCAACGATTCCAAAACTTTTGATTTTTTTTCAGATAGTGATGATCTATCCAAAAAATTTATCGTGTAGTCTTGACGGCATCAGAAATTCCAGAAATTACCGGCTTTCATTTCCATCCGCCGATGAAGCCCCCTACGGACAGCAATATCGGCACAACGAACTGCTCCATTTTTGTGTTTCTTCCTTGAATATTTCATTGCAGTCCCCCGTTGACCATAAACATGCACTTAATGCCGTTAAAATGAAGAACAAAAAAGAGAATACACGCGGACAAACAAACACCCGAGGAGTTGATCCAGCAACGAGAAAGTGTGTGGAATGGCATCGATACCCCAACTTTTCACCTGATAAATAATGAATGAAGATTATAGCCGGCGAAGTAAAGCCAGCGGGCGTATGACCAGCGAGAAGAGGCCCTCGCCGGGCGGCATCCAGGCCTTCCACTGGGCATCCACAACGTCTGCGCATAAAAAACCCTTCATCCTATTCGTCCACGTTGGGTATAATGCCGGAGTGGGAGCATTAGTATTGGTAAGTTGCTGAGGTAAGGTATCCTACTCAGTGGGGCTGGTCAAGAGGGGATTGTAGAGATCGAATAAACGCCAAGGGGCGATCAACGTTGTACGATTGATGAGGAAGCCGATGTCGAGGATATCGCGAGTTAACGTGCTCGCGTTAACTGTTGTGATTCAATAAGTTTTTTTTTTTGGTTTGTGGTGAAAATTTATCGGGTCACCCAGTGATTTTTGTGTCTTTCGGATTATTCTTCATCATTCTGTTGAGTATATAAACGGAGGAGGAGAGATAACGGCTTCAAGATGATGAAAACAAAGCATCAGGGCCTCGTGGCCGATCTCATGCCCAACATAAGGCTGATGCAGATCAGTGGACACTTTATGTTCAATTATTATGGGGAGGGAAAGAAGCTCATGCACAAAGTCTACTGCAGTGTAAGTCATTACTTACAATTTTTTGGCTTCGTTATTTGGGAACATTTTTTTTTTTGGGCGCAGCCAGGGTTGGGCGTGTAAATTACGTTGGTAAATTACACCGTTTTTTACCGACGTAATTTACGTAAATTACTTCGACGGTTTTTTTTACATTTTTTTACATTACTTAGAAAAGCATTTTTTGGTTACTAGAATGTTTGATTTTCTAGAATGTTTGATTGACGAAGACGCAGTATTGAACGCATAAATGTCATAAAAAATAGCATATTATGTCCCGAGGACAGATACAGCGCGAATTTTAACTCCACTCTGTTCGGTTAGAACGCGGCTCTCGGTACACTTGGGGTATAAAATATTATTTTATGTCCCTAGGACCGTAAAACCGCGATTCTAACATTGATTCCCTCAGTTAAATCGCGGTGTCCGGGTCTAGAGACAGAAAATATTAAATGTCGCACGGCGATAAAACAATTTTCTGACCCATGCGATTAAAATCCTCGTCTTCGGCTCAGATTATAAAGCCACATTCGTCAGAAAATACTCTCATCACTTGGTGACATAATGTATTATCACATCACGTGGTACGATTTACGGCATTTTACGAAAGTCATAAACATGAGCCTCATACCTCATAAAGACTAAATTTCACGAGGGTTAAACGTTGTAAAAGACTAAAGTCACAAGTCATCCCCATTGTGGGAAAAGGAATATCATTATCTATTGAGTTTTATTGGATTATTTATTTTATTATTTGGAGCTCCGGAAAAGCCCAGTTGGACCCGACAAGAACCATTTTGTTCTGAAGAGTTCAAAAAAGTTACCAAAGACAATTGAATGAGTTTTGTCATTTAATAAAGCTGAATGAAACAAATTAATGTCAAGACAAAAGATAATGATGCGACGAATCCAATAGAGAGCAATAAATAATGAGATTGACCCTTGTAAAATTCATCCCTTACACTGTATGACCCTTACGAGGTGTGACCCTCGAAACGTATGACCCTGGCGAGGTATGAACCTCGTGAGGTATAATTTTCGGAAGGCTTCACGGCTTACGATAAAAGGTACACGGAGAGAAATTATCTAGAAAAATTCCAGTACGAGTACTGGAAAAAATCACAATCCACCGGCTGTGAAAGATTCTACACTGAGAACAAAATTTATTCCTTCCAAGAAAATGTTATTGGTGACATATTTTTCATACTCTTAGTAGAAGAAAATATCTCTTTTGGAACGTATTTCTCCAGGCCAGTCATTTCCAGGTGCTCCAAAATCAGTTCCAAGCGTGAGAATTATGGTGATCTATAAGAATATTCTTCTGCATATGACCTCGAAGAAATCCCAATAATAATTATTAACATTTGGAATTATTCCAATTTTCTTTACCTGAGAAAATCGCCAATTTGTAAAATCCGGAAGATATCGGAGAACATTTTGTCAAGGTCATATGTGTAATAATCAGATTGTTCAATATCACTGTAATTTTTGAGGATAGACTTGGACTCTCTGAAAATGACTGTCCTGGAAAAATTCGTTCTGAAAAAATATTATCTTCTGACGAGAATATCAATCCTTGGCAGGAATAATTTTTTCTCTCAGTGTAGTGCTGTTAAGATAAAATTTCTTGGTACTTCTGGTAGAATTTCTGGGGATTTCTGTGAAATTTTCACAGAAATTTAAAAAAAATTCACGTTTTTCCAATAAAATTTCCAGTGCCGGCACTGGAATTTTCTCCTGGCTGTCACTTTGCGCCTCTTTTGCCGTGCTAGCACTAGAATTTCTCTAAAAAATTTCTCTCCGTGTAACATCGGCTCTTTTTTTTACATTTTTCACATTTATTACGTGAATTATGGGTTTTTACAATGTCATGTAAAAAACTGCGGTTATCGACAGATGCCCAACCCTGGGCGCAGCGACTGTCTGCGGAGGAGCGAATAACATAAAATGAAAACGGGAGAGTAAATGAATTGGAGTAAATTGTGCGAAGTACCTAATGATGACGGTAGAGATGATGTGGGGGTTTTTGCGACGTGTTCGATATTTCTGTGTTTGATACAAGTTGGATCGAGTTTATCGGTCTGGATTGTCTCAAGGTTCCTTTTATTTCGCAGTAGCACTTGTCGACGGTTACGAAATCTTTAACCTTTACACTGAACCTCTTCGAAAATGCACGTTTACCGTACCCCGCGGTCTGTCAGACCGCTACTCCGTCTGGATCGCCTTTCCCGTTTGTTTGAGTGAATGAATCAATACTTTTTGTAACTGAAGGTTCAGATGAGGGCTAAAACAGGGAAGGGTTGGACAGAAGAGGCCACGTATGAAAAAATCGTATAGAAATTTTCAGTAAAGGTTAAATCCAAAGATATATTCTTTTTCAAGTATTTATGTTTCCATTGTTTGAATGGATCTGTTATCCTCGAATAGGTCCACCTATTCCTGATCATCCTTCAATTCGGATTATGTGGGATTAATCTGGCAATGGAGAGTGGTGATGTTGACGATCTCACAGCGAATACCATCACAGTCCTCTTCTTCTTGCACTCGGTCGTCAAAGTCGTTTATTTCGCTGTGCGAAGTAAACTCTTCTATCGCACATTAGCTATTTGGAATAATCCAAACAGTCATCCATTATTCGCTGAGAGCAATGCGAGGTATCACTCCATTGCGCTCACCAAAATGCGTAGGCTGTTGTTCTGCGTTGGTGCTGCTACTGTATTGTCCGTGATATGCTGGACGGGTATCACGTTCTTCGAGGATCCTCACAAGACCATTACGGATCCCATCACCAATGAAACGAGTACTATTGAGGTAATCAGTGGAGCTGATCAAGGGGTGCAACTTGAGGGGATGCGTCGCACTACGAAAACTAATGTCTGAATTTCAGACACTTTTGTAGTCACTTCACTGAGAGAAAAATCTGAAGTTCGATTTACAATAAGAAAATAGTTGACGCATTTTGGTGAACGATACGATTTTTTTTTGTATGCGGCACATAACATTATAGTAACTTCACAAGCGTAATTTTTGCAAATCAAAATGCAGTCAAACTAACCAAAGTTCAAAACAGTAGCGAAGCGGTAAACCGGGTTAAGTCGATTTTGACTATTGGCCAGTTTTTAACGGATATCTGGGAATCTAAAAGAGATAGAAAATTTTTTGTCATGACCTTTTTTGTAGAGCCAACTGAGGGTTATAAAAAAGGTGATGAGCAAAATTTTGCTATCTCTCTTAGATTCCGAGATATTTGTCAAAAAATGCCCAAAAGCAAAATCGACTTGACGCGGTTTACCGCTTCGCTACTGAAAAGTAACCACGACAAATCTATCGTGAGGAGAACTATAAAATAGTTGCAATGACTACATTCCATTGTAGTAATTACTTCTCAACCCATGCATTTTGCATGGGTTAGTGTAACCCATAAAAAATTGTTGAGGACTTTTTGACTATAATTCGATGGTGATAGAATATAGTCAGAAGAATTATATTTTTCTCTCAGTGTTTTCAAATACTTTTGGAACGATTTTGTAGACACTTTTGAGACATTAAAATGTGTCTGAATCAATGGAGGTATTTCAATTTCAGACACCAAGATATCTGAAATTATCAGACATCGATTAGATTTTCAGACACTTTTAAAGATTCAGACGTTTTTTGCCATCTGCCATATTAAATTCAGATGGTTGTCAGACACCTAGTTTTTGTAGTGCGGTGAAATTTAAGTCTTCACTGGGCCTTGGGACCGTTGAACAGTTTGTGAGATATGGCGGATTATGAAAATAATAATTTCCTACTTATAACTAGAAATAACTAGAGAAAATCGCGGACCCGATCGATTTTACGTCGTATAACCACGAAATTTCATTTTTTTCTGTTTCTGCCTTAAAAATGCTCCTTGTGCCGTAGTTTTTATACGATTTTAGCTTTTATTTCAATGTCCATTACTCTTCGAAAGAATAAAGTCAGCATCCGTTTTACTTTATTCTGAATAGATAATGAATAAATGAATTTTGAATTTCATAAATTTTCTTTTGAACCCGCCTTTTCGCTTCAACCTGCCTAATTTTTGTTGTTAACAATTAGATTACGCATGATTACAATAGTCAATTATTAAAAACAATTAATTTTTAGTCCTACTCTAGAGACGCGAAACACTTATGAAATTCAAAATTCATTTATTTATGATCGATCGCGAATGAAGTAAAACAGATGCTTAACTTTATTCTTTGGAGTGTACCGAACATTTTTAGGAAAAAAAAAAAAAAAAAAAAAAAAAAGGTAAAATCGTATGAAAATTACGGCGCAAGGAGCATTTTGAAGGTAAAACAGCAACAAATGAACAGAATAAATTGTGTAGAAAAATGAAATTTTATTCAATTTGCATACATAATATTTTTCATTAAACATTTCTATAGCCCGGTGGCCTGGCGTAGTGGTTAAGGCCGTTGCCTCACAACGGATAGGTTCCAGGTTCGATTCCTGGCCGGGTAGAATGGTGAGATCTAACCATTTTTAAAGTCTTGATCAATCGCCATATAGTCTCATCAGACTCGAAGCGATATAAAATAAGCATAAAAAAAANACGCGCAGATAAACTCGAAATTTTTCTGTAAAATGGGTCACAAACTCATAAAAAGTTCAATAGAAATAAAATACAATTTTCCGGCGAATTCGCTGGGTTTCTCGTGCAAAGTGAAATATCATCGGGCTTTGTCGATAGAAAATTTCATGAGCTATGAAAAATTCTATTGATTTAATCGACATAAAAACAATGCTTTCATTCGGAAGCAAAAACTGTGAAAATAATGGTCACGCTAATGGTTTTTTTGCTGTGATCAATAAGATTCCGAGGCTCATGGTGAGATCGTTCTATCCATTCGATGCTCGCCACGGTGTGGCCCACATTGCAATGCTGGTATTCCAATTCTACTGGCTCATGATCACCATGGTCGACGCCAACTCCCTGGACGTTCTCTTCTGCTCGTGGCTACTATTCGCTTGTGAACAACTGCAGCATCTCAAGGCCATCATGAAGCCCCTGATGGAACTCAGCGCGACCTTGGATACCGTTGTGCCGAACAGTAGTGAACTGTTCAAGGTATTTCAGATAGGGGAGGGTGGGGCAAAACGGCCCTCCCTTCAATTGTCAATAACTTGTGAATGACATTGTGAAAATTCCCAGTTTCAACTTCATTTTGAAGATAATTTTTCATTCTTCAAAACGAGCTCTAACTCATCCCAATCGGATTATTGAATCGGAAAATATTGACGATTGAACGGGGGCCGTTTTGCCCCATCCTCCGCTAATATAATGAAAGGAAGAAAAAAGAGCGCATTAAAGTAGCTCTACTCTTCGGCCGGGCTACGCTGTACTTTTTGATATTTTCAGTTTTTTAATTTTTCAACTAAATTGCACGAAAAAAATTTGAAAAAATTCATACCCAGTCAGTATTATCTAAATTTAATTTCGCGAAATATTGATATTTTTTCGAACATTCCCTTCTTATCAATATATGGAAAAATCAAGTTATTGACTTTTTCTATTGAATATTTTCTATTGAACATTTCAATAGAATCGGCCAAAAACTAATAGAAAGTTGAATAAAAATCCAATAGAATTGTCTAACGAATGCGCTAGGTTTTTTTATTAAATTTTTTCGAGCGTGATAAAATTCAAAAAAAATAAGTCGTGAAGAGATTGGAGATTAACTAATATTTTCAAAGGCCGGAAGTGCTGATCACCTGCGAGAAACAAACGGCACTCAGCCCTCAGCAACACCCCAACAAGGCGACAACATGCTTGACTTGGATCTACGAGGGATTTACAGTAATCGCCAGGATTTCACCGCGACATTCAGGCAAGCAGCCGGTATGCAGTTCAACGGTGGAGTCGGACCCAACGGATTGACCAAGAAGCAAGAGATGCTGGTGAGAAGTGCGATTAAATACTGGGTTGAGCGACACAAGCACGTCGTGAGGTGAGTAATTCCTCAGAATATCGGCAAGTCGAAAAATCCTATTCTAAAAAGAACATACACCGTAAGCTGTAGCGTAACGCTCATTCCTCGAACTTCATTGGTCGAACATCGGGTCCGCCCGCACGTGTTCGACTTCGGTCGGCTTTCTGTTTTCGTGTCACGATTTGTCTTTAACAGACGCGCTCAAGCGCGCGATCGTTCTCGTATTGAAAAATTGTGATACCTGGTGGATTATTTGATCCTATCGTCAAAACCACATGTCGATCCAATCCCATCAACTTTTGTGTTTTTATTAAAAGCACACACCAGGGAATTACACCATAAAAGTCGAGCAATTCGATTGAAACATGTTTTTATCCTGCAACGTGCAATTGATTGACGTGCTTGCGTGACGCGATAAGCTATTCACACGTGATTAATATCCCTCGATGTGTGATAACTTCATCTCTCGTATCAGCAACTATTCAACGGATGCCCTGCCTCATCGGCGTATGATTCAATGCAACTCTACTCAAATGAAAAAAAATTATGAATGAACGATACCCAAGTATCGTTTGCAGTTTGGAACAGACCACAGTATAGATTAAATCATTTTTAATCGTCAAATTTGTCAATTAAATGCGTGAGAAAAATTTGAAGAAAATCGCGGATGTTCAGCATCATGCAAATTCCATTTTGGAGAATAATTTTTTTTTGTTTTGAAATTATTGAAACTTGCGGGAAATCTAAATTTTTTTAGGCATGGAATATATTGCTGGTGAAATTCTGGATACACAGAGAGAAATATTCAGTCAAAATTACGGAACAATTCACGTAATCCGCAATGGGGAATCGTTTTTCGGCAATTTTTATAGGAATGGAAGAGAAGAAATCTGAAATGTTCAGTGAATTCTCAGGTTCATTACCGAACAAAGCACGAAATTGTCACGTAATTCTTCCCGAAGAAGTAAAATCTTACAAAAACTTTCCGACTTATTATGTCTCCGAAATAAAAAATTCTTAAACGATCAACAATTTTTATGCAACTGATGAGTTATTTCTACGTTCCGTTTCGTAAAATTTCTCAATCATTGGGGAAAAATTATGGAACGACTTGTTGCCCCATAACGGTGAGTCATCAGACGGGTGATAAATTTTTACGGAACAAATCGTAGAATTTACGTGGCAATTTCAGTTCCGACTCGCACTTTTTATTGAATTTCACTTCGCTCGCGGATTACGTTTCGAAACGTAATTTTTACATTTTTTTTCGGATGATTTTTATTGAATTTTTCTCTCCGTGTATGAGTAAATTTGTTACGATTCAGAAGAAATGATTTTTATGGCGGAAAATTGATTGTTTATGAAATTTTTGTAGACTAGGGGGCTTCGTCTTCTACTCGCGCCGCTCGCCAACCCCCCACGGGTGTTATGGTGCGACCCATTAGGAGCGATTGATTTGTTTTTAGAAAAAGACTCCAGTCAACGTCTTAAAAGCCCCATATGAACCTCACATGGCCCTCATATGACCCCCACTTGATCTCCACATTACACTGTTAAAAATTTTCGTCTGAATTTTCCGTGCCAAGTTCCGGAAATTTTTATCGTGTTCAAAAATATTCCAAAATTACGTATCTTCTCCGTAATTTCGGAGCGAAATGCAGTTGTACGAAATTTTACGGAACTGTTACGTAATTTTTACCTAAAATCACAGAATTTTCCCAGAGCGTTCCACAATATTTAAATGAATCTCCCGTGAAAAATTACGATACCGTCACTTAAATTTTCTGAGTCGATTCCGTAATCGGTGGGCGAACTGTGAGTTCCGTAATTTTTACTGAACATTTCTCTCCGTGTACGTTACAAACGAGGAAACCAAGTGGACAATTTATCCCGACGGGGAATTCAGTTATCGTGTATCGGCATGAAACAGCAATTTTAGCCATTTCATTTTTTCCACTCTCTCAAACTTTCCTCTGTGAAGAAAACTGCCGATGGGAAGTGCGAGGAGAAAGGAGGAAGGGGCTGTGAATGTTGAGTGCTCTTTTTCCCACAGTATTGAAAAATTCATCAGACTGGAGCGCGATATTGACCGCAACGGGGGACGTGCCCTCTGGACTGAACAATTCGCTGGGTCGTACAGCGTGCTTTACGTGTTATACATGTGGGGTATAATGCTTCTTACCCCTCTATACTAAGGAGTAACCGGTGGTTAGTTGGTCTATGGGTGGGTGCTAGCTATTGCGGGGGGCCTAATCACGCGACCCTGCGACCTTATTTTGCTTCAAATTTTCACCTGTTTACGAATTCTGTGATGTGCTTTTTTGACGTAAAACTGAGATGAACTACCAAACAAATCATGTAATCGTGGAGCGGAATCCATTTCTAGGCCTTTTTCACCCAATATCGGGGGAATAAATGCGAGAAAATAGTGAATTTTTCTCCGCTGACTTGAGAAAATTTACTAAACGTGAGGGTACACGTATGTAAATAAAAAATTCATAGAAAAACCTAGTGAATTCGCTAGATAGTTCTATTGAATTTCTATTGAATTTTCTATTAGTTCTTCGCCGATTCTATTGAGATATTTTCTATAGAATTTCCTCAACTCAAATTTCCCTAGTTTTCTGTTTAATTTTCGCCTAGAAAATTGATTTTTTTAAGTTTTATATCGGCGGGGACTTCAAATCACTTTTTTTCTTCAAGAATTAGAGGAATATCAATATTTCCGGGAGAAGAAATTCAAAAAATGCGAAAAAAAAGTGGGTGGGAAGAACAAAAAAAATCGATGTATTTTTTCGAATAATGGAAGAATACCCATAAATTCGATTTCTATCCTCGTCATTTGATAGAATGAATAGAATAAATGACAAAAATCGCGAATTGGAGACTACAAATTTTATCCGATTATTATTACGTAATGATGTAATAATTTCCTTGAACTGTCAAATTGCATTGTAATTGTACTTCTCGGTAATTTCATTGAGTTCTGTACATTCGCTACACTGAAGGGACAATTACTTGACCAAGGCAATTCGTCAAGTTTGAATAACTAACGACAAGTAGGTGAACTGAGACAAGGATGAATATTTCTCCTTGATTACATTGTTTGAAAACTTGAACAGACACGATGATCACGATGCTACGAACAGCACGTTTTATGGCCAATCGATATTTTCCTAATATTCCATGCAAATGAAATATGTACGTTCATGGAATACAGCATAGCTACTGGTGAAAAGAACTTTTCAGGTGGATCGGTAGAGTGGGCGTGACTGCATTATTCAATTGAGCTTTCTCACGTTTTTTTTAATCGGTTGAAAAACCCATTTTACATTCCAGACTGGTGACCGCCATTGGAGATGCTTATGGAGTTGCCCTTTTGTTCCACATGCTGATCACCACAATCACCCTGACCCTGCTTGCATATCAAGCAACGAAGGTAATTATTCAAGGAGTCAGTTGAGTGAATCGAGGGCATTTTTTTATGACAAGCGAATTGTTTGTATTTTAGGTCAATGGCGTCAATGTTTATGCTGCAACAACAATTGGATATTTGCTTTACTCTCTGGGGCAAGTCTTCTTGTTCTGCATATTCGGAAATCGTTTGATTGAAGAGGTAATTGACACACGGAAGAAAAAACACCAAATAAATTCCCGTAAAATCACCAGTAAAATTTCTCGCGTAGTGTTTCACGTAAAATCCGGGAAATATTCCTGGTACCACAGAATATAGGATTTCGATCGTTAATAACTTGACGCTGAAATATAGAGAATGGAAAATGAAATCGTACAGTATGAATAACTGTGATGAACGTCCTATGAAAATTTCAATTTCATCATTTTTATTCGGGAATATATTTTCACTTGTAATACCACAAGAGCTTCAACATTATCGGGTATTTTCCGATAGGTTCGTTGCAAACAAACAAAGGAGTGCTTCGCACTCGTGATTTTTTAACCTGAAAAACTTGACGACGTCGATTGTATGCAGAGAACCTTGAGGAAAATGCCCGATTAATTTTGAAGCTCGTGTGATATTCGGGGGATTATTTTTCCAATCCAAATGTTGGACAATATAATTGGACCATGAGACGAAACTCACAATTGAGAAACGAAAATTGTATAATTAACACTCATTTCGAATAAAAATCCTCGGATTACCACAATTGAATTCAATCTGTCAGTTTGACGAGGGGTTAATTCGACTTCATGATGTTTTGTTTTTTATATAGCAACTACCAGGGAAAATTACCAAAAAATTATCAGTTGAAAACCCTGTAGCTTGTACCACGTGATGTCGAATGGGCCAATTATATTGCCCGATATTTCGGTTGGAAAAATGATCAGTAGTAATACCCCAAGAGCTTCGAAATCATCGGGTATTTCCCGATAGCTTCAGTGCAAACAAATGAGGGTGTCAAGTTTTGCAGGTTTAAAAATCCCGAGCGCTAGCGCGAGGGATTTTTCTGGAAAACTTGGCACGATGGTTTGTTTGCAGGGGAGTTTGAGGGAAATACCCGATTAATTTTGAATCTCGAGGGGTATTTGTCGGATTATTTTTCCCAATTGGATTTTGGCCAAGCAGAGTGCAGTGGACAACATCAGGAGGTGAATCGGGGAAGATTTGAACAAATTATGTTAATAGAATAACTCGATTTCCATAGACTATCAAATATAGGATTCTATCTGAAATGAGCCGAAAAAATGAAGAGCTACTGCGAAATATTCAGGTAAAAAAAATGAAGAACTACTGCGAAATATTCGAAAGCGAGAAAGAAATATCCGAAATAAAACTGTCGGGTAGCCTCAAGTACTGCGCTCTGATTGTTCGAAATTCAATTGGGAAAAATAATTGGGAATATTTTAATTGGCAATAAACTTTTAAATGATTTTCTATGAATTTTTATCGCACCAACGTCAGATTTTTTTCACTGCTAAAAGATTCAACCCATTTTAGATTGTAAAGAATCGTAATCGTTGTCTACTATTTTGAGCTACTTTGAGGAATAATCATACAAATGTTTTTTTTCATTGTGCAACCAATGTGATTTGTTTTCTCGGTGGATTTCAGAGCTCGTCGGTGATGGAGGCAGCCTACTCCTGCCACTGGTATGATGGCTCCGAGGAGGCCAAGACGTTCGTGCAGATTGTCTGTCAACAGTGTCAAAAAGCCATGTCTATATCGGGGGCCAAGTTCTTCACGGTATCTTTAGATCTCTTCGCCTCGGTAAGAATGAATTTTTATGTTTTTATGTTCACATCGAATTGTACTATTAACGGGGATCTCGCCGTTCACATTCACGCTCACATATTTTCCCAAGTTTTTTCACTGCAGTCTTCCTTTTTTCATTCAACAATTCAATCCAAAAAACTTGGATAATTCAAGTGCGGGAATTCCTGTAGAAAAAATCACAGCAGATTCAGTCTATAAAAGTTTCTAACAAAAATTTCTATAAAAAAACGCGCAGAAAAGCTGATGATCTAGAATCTTCCATAAAAGTCCCCCAGAATTTTTTAACGAATGCACTCGATTTTTATAAAATAAAATCTCTTCGTACGCGGTAAATAAAACAGTAAAAAATTCATCAGTCGCCGGCAATTGCAAAAGCAAAATTTCCAATTTTGTTTTCACTACAGTCTTGCTTTTTTCATTCAACAATCCAGTCAAAAAAACTTGGACGGTTCAAATGCAGGACTTCCTACAGAAAAAATTACAACAGAATGAGTATCATAGGAAGATCACATCTTCTGATTTAGTCAATAAGCTGATGATCTAGAATCTTCCATAAAAGTTCCACAGAATTTTTCAGCGAATGCCCTAGGTTTTTCCATAAAGTTTCTTCGTACGTAATAAGAGGACACATTAAAAAAGTGTTTTCACTGCATACATCCTTTTTTCATTCAACAATCCAATCAAAAAAAATTGGGCGATTCGAGTACAGGACTTCCTGAAAAAATCGCAACAAAATAAGTATCATCAAAAGATTAAATCTTCTGATTTAGTCTATAAATGTTTCTATCAAAGATTTCTATAAAATAAAAAACGTGCAGAAAAGCTGGTGATTTAGAATCTTTTATAAAAGTCCAACAGAATTTTCAAGCGAATGCACTCGGGTTTTCCATAACATTTCTTCGTACGTGACAAGACACAACATTGAAAAATTCATCACACGCCCGCAATTGTAAAAGAAAAATTTCCAAGTTCTTCTTCACTGCATTCAGTCTATAAAAATTTCTGTAAGAAATCTCTATTTAAAAAAACGTACAGAAAAACTGGTGATCTAGAATCTCCCATAAAAGGTCAACAGAATTTTCTAGCGAATGCACGCGGTTTTTCCCCGGTTTTTCGTCTTCGTACGTGACAAGACGAAACATTGAAAAATTTATCAGTCGCCCGCAATTGCAGAAAAAAAAATTCCAATTTTTTTTCACTGCATTCAGTCTATAAAAATTTCTATAAAAAATCTCTATAAAGAAAAACGTGCAGAAGAGCTTGTGCACTCGATTTTTCCATAACATTTCTTCGTACGTGACAAGACAAAACATTAAAAAATTCATCAGTCGCTCGCAATTGCAAGAGAAAAATTTCCAAGTTTTTTCCCACTACATTCAGTCTATAAAAGTTGCTATAAAAAATCTATGAAGAAAAACGTGCAGAAAAGCTCGTGCACTCGATTTTTCCATAACACTTCTTCGTACGTGACAAGACGAAACATTTAAAAAATCATCAAAGTTGCCATATGTATTCTATTTCTTGCATTTTCCCACTCTACAACAAAATCAATACCACCATTAATATTCCTCTTCTCCTATCTAAAGGTTCTCGGTGCTGTTGTAACGTACTTTATGGTGCTGGTACAGCTGAAGTAAATTATCGATAGAATGAAGGGTCATTGGAAGGGTTTCAAAACGGAAATCAATAGGGGAACAACGAAAAGGGGAGATAGACAAAGATCTCAGACAATTCAACAATTTTCTCATCAAGCTTTTGGTCCTTACCATACTGGGTATCTTTTTAAATTTCCTGGTTGAAATTTTCACCATCATCTGCGGTATTATTGTGTTATTGATTCTTGGGGAGAGAGAAAAGAAGAAAATGATAGAGAAATATTGTAGAGTTTATTCCGTCTTCTTTTCTCATTTATATTTAACTTTGTAATGAGCGGAAGCAGATTCAAGGGGTTGAAAGAGGGGGGAAGTGGTGTGGGAGGGGGAGGGGATGTTTTTACTAGGGATCACGGTTATTTGAAATTTAAATATTAAGAAGCACAGAGTTTAATTCTGTATACAACCGGCACATTTGAGATTTTGGGGGGAAAATATTACGCTATTTATATTATAGATAATTTCATAAATTTTGTAACTTATTGAAACAGAGCGCAAGTTTTGAATTTTTTCATAGTAATCGTAAACTATTCCCTACAATAGTCATACAATTAGCAACTAATGGAAATACAAAATAAAAATGTGACCTTCAAGTTGACATCAGTAGATATTCCGACGAAAAACTTGCGCTCTGCTTTTCGCTCTGTCGTGTGTTTTTTTTTTGTTCCAGAGAATATTTGTGAGTGTAAATAAATATTATTATTGAATATTTAAAAGTGAAGATTAAACATTCAGATATCGTGAGGATGACCATATACAAGTAAAAGAAAAATGAAATTTTATCACAGTCAAGTTGTAATATACGAAAATCCACGAGTTACTTAATCTCCTGTTATAATTGTGATTTATGAAAAATAATTCCCCGAATACTTTTATTTCATTTTCTGTTTGTTTATTCTTGTATTTAAATAATAAAGGGTTTTTTAAAATATAATTTCGTGTCTTACTCGGTTCGCCGTCCACTTACTTTTTGCCCTATTTACACATTCACGTACACATTTATTCAGAATAAAGAACTTTGTCGTTTTCCCTCTTATATTCTAACGATGAGGAGAAAAATTAATTCATGTCGCATTTCATTTTAGTTTTCGATCTGTTGCATATTTTTTTGTGGTTTCAGGGAATATTTTTTAGTGTAATTACAGTACATGTTATGGTTAAATGTTATTGTAAATATGACTTCGGCTGCTGGTTTCGTGTTTCAATAAATAAATAAATAAATAAATAAATGAATCAATGTTATTATCCAATATAAGGAAATAAGAAACTTAGTCAATCTTCTGTTATAAACGAAAAATTTCTAGAAAAATGCAAATAAAACTCGCTGAAATTTCGGTGAAACTAATCTTTTTCTTGTATTTCTTCACACCATTAACTCCCAAATTTTACTGCTCCATTGCGAAAAAATACCTCACAAACGAGAAAATGTCTCCTTTGCTTCGTATTTCTTTCTCCATTTGAAATAAAAATCCCTGGAATACAATTCTGCCCTCCGATTACGTAGATTGCATTTTTTATTATGTTTGTTTATTCTCCTAAAGTATTCTTTATTAAACTTCATTCCGCTCCACGATTACGTTTCGAAGAGTAAAACTCGTGATTTCCCATAAAATTTCCTTCCTGAACTTTTCTCTCCGTTTTCAAAATAAAAGATCAGATGAGGACTTTTAAAAAGTCCCATAAAATTCTTTATTTCAACAAAAAAAAAAAAAATACCAATTACGACAAACGAAAAATGATCAAAGCACTTGATAATCCTGAGGTTCAAATAAACAAAAGCCATGTAAAATTTCGTTCAGAGTGAAACTGGTGCGAATAAAGTGCGACAAAAAAATCAATGAAAAATTGTAAGAAAAACGCAGCAAAAATTCGCTGAAAATGCGGTACAATTTCTCTGTTTTCACATTATTAACCCCGAAATTTTACAGTTCCATTGCGAAAAAATAGTCACAAAAGAGGGAATGAAACATCATTTCAACATTTTGTTTAAAAAATCCTATTTTCTAGTCACAAAATAGAAAATCTCCGTTGTTTTACATTTCTTTCTCCACTTGAAATAAAATCCAGATTGATTTTTTTAATGGTTTTTCCTTCTCTTAAAATATTCTTTATTAAACTTCTTTCGCTCCACGATTACGTTGCGAAGAGCAAAACTCGTAATTTCGCCTATCATTGCTCAACGTTTCTCTCCGTCTTCAACCTAAAAAGTCATATGAAGACTTTAAAAAAGTTCCATAAAATGCTTCATTTCAACGAAAAAAACTAATAAATTACCAATTACGACAACTGAAAAATGATCAGAGCACTTGATAATCCTGAGGTTCAAATAAAAAAAGCCATGTAAGATTTGATTCAGAGTGAAACTGGTGCGAATAATGTGCGACCAAAAACCCTCGTAGCGGAGGAGGGAGAGGAGGAAAACGCAAGCGCAGGAGAATATCCCCAGCATCCCAGTTGTCCCGCGACTGGGTTGAGTTTCGATCGACCTGGAGGGGTGCACACGAACATTCAGTGAATAGTCCAGTGGGTGAGTAAGCGAGAGACAGGATCGAGTGAAGAGCGACAGAAGACTCTGAGACCGCGCTGGTTGCCTCGTGCTTGACGATGCGTTACGCGCTCGATCGTTTTTTCCCCATTTTTGTGTTTTCGTGACAGACACACGGGCATCGAGTTCTCGGTGGTGGTCATGCGACACAAGACGAGTCAAGTGGTGGTTAGAAAACGCGAAAAGATATCGTGAGACAGTGATTGAGGGCGATTGTCAATGGGAGCGAGTAATTTATAAACAAATGAGCCTTCGGTTGCGGTTGTGCGTGTCCAGTGATTCGATAATTACAATTTTTACAATTTTCAATGTTCAATTGACAATACACAAGAGCAATTATTAAGAGCGATTAAACAATCTACGGATGACGGATTAGTAATTAACGATTTAGGAATATTTAAATGTCTTCATTTATCACTGATGAAGCAGTTATGACCGAGGGATTATTCAAATGAGTCGATAATAAAATCAAATGTACGCATGGGGAATGCTGGGTGATTGAGGCTAGTGTGTTCAGATGAGTTAAACTGTTGCGGAGAAATTTGACGTGGCTCATTCGGCAATTGGAAAACCTCTCGTTATTCATTTGATTGAGCTGTAAAACGACAAAATAGGTACGAAAACAGCGAGCGGCAGGCGGAGGCGAAGCCTCCCGCCCCACAAACAAGGACGTGAGTTTATCACACTGAATATTATTGTTTTTTTACTGTTATTGTAAAACGTGGGGGGCACAATTGGAAGGTATTGTTATGTTTTTTGAGGTATGGAGTGAGGGAGGGGGCGAGAATTGAGGAAATTCCGGCGGATGAGTTGGTAAACGTTTAACGATCGTGTGTTCTCGCCGGCGCTGTTAATGATCAGCAAACTACCGCTAAAGGGGTTGATGCTCACGTGAGATGCTGTCGAGGAGTGAGATAATAAAGAATGCCTCTTCACGCGGAGGAGGGACGTAACGACAGTGGGTGGTTTAGTTAACGTTAGGGAACCGAGAACAATGTACACTGCTCAAAATTTTTCGCGGACATTTTCGAGGTGGCACTTGGACATTTCGAATAAGTCACATTGCCACTGACATTTCGATTGATTTTGTTATTAAAAGTTCATGGTTTCATGGAAAGGTACGTGGGAACTGGAAATTTCAGTTTTATTGTGCCGGGAAAATTCATGAAAGTCCGGGAAATTCCGAGAAATCTCTCCTTGAATTTCTGATTCCTCGGAATTTTCAGTGAAACTTGAAATTCCATTGACTTTTTCTCCTTAAATCGAATTCAAGGTTTTACCAAAAAAAATCAGCTAATTATTGTTGTGTAGGGATTCATTTCATATAGTTTCTTACAACATGAGTTGGTAATTTTTGTTTCTGTTCGGTTTCTAAATCTCTTCCTGAATTCCAGATTCCTCGGAATTTTCAGGGGCTGCCTTAAAAATTTCTGGAACGCCAAGTTTTTTTATGGAATTTCCTGAAAATTCAAGAGAATTTGACAGTAAATATTCATTTTCACTGGGAAATTCATGTAAATTGTCGAATTTCCATCTTCCTGATGCTAAAAAAATGGAATTTAACTTGAATTTTCAGAGAAACTTGAAATTCCATTGACTTTTTCTCCTTAAATCGAATTCAAGGTTTTACCAAAAAAAATCAGCTAATTATTGTTGTGTAGGGATTCATTTCATATAGTTTCTTACAACATGAGTTGGTAATTTTTGTTTCTGTTCGGTTTCTAAATCTCTTCCTGAATTCCAGATTCCTCGGAATTTTCAGGGGCTGCCTTAAAAATTTCTGGAACGCCAAGTTTTTTTATGGAATTTCCTGAAAATTCAAGAGAATTTGACAGTAAATATTCATTTTCACTGGGAAATTCATGTAAATTGTCGAATTTCCATCTTCCTGATGCTAAAAAAATGGAATTTAACTTGAATTTTCAGAGAAACTTGAAATTCCATTGACTTTTTCTCCTTAAATCGAATTCAAGGTTTTACCAAAAAAAATCAGCTAATTATTGTTGTGTAGGGATTCATTTCATATAGTTTCTTACAACATGAGTTGGTAATTCTTGTTTCTGTTCGGTTTCTAAATCTCTTCCTGAATTCCAGATTCCTCGGAATTTTCAGGGGCTGCCTTAGAAATTCCTGGAACGCCAAGTTTTTTTATGGAATTTCCTGAAAATTCAAGAGAATTTGACAGTAAATATTCATTTTCACTGGGAAATTCATGTAAATTGTCGAATTTCCATCTTCCTGACGCTAAAAAATTGGAATTTAACTTGAATTTTCAGAGAAACTTGAAATTCCATTGACTTTTTCCCCTTAAATTGAGTTCAAGGTTTTATCGGAAAACTCGGTCAATTTTTTTTGTGTGGGGATTCATTTCATATAGTTCATTACAAAGTGAATTGATAATTTTTGTTTCTGTTCAATTTCTACTTTTATTATTATTTCACTTTATTGTTTCTAGTTTTATCTGGACAATTATCTCTGCAATCATTCGTTATAGAGAATTCACCATTCATTACAGACCGATTCAACACGTTCATTACTTTTACGATGCTTTGTTTGAGAATTTATTGGATCTGGTATATGAAAATAACAGTCTCTATTGAGTTTTCGGCAACTCAATAGGAAACGTTGCCGATAACAAAGTGAACCGAATCACATTGCAATAGGAAGAGCATGGAACTCACAAAAATATTAATGGACAGAAATTTTTTGAAAAATTTAGGAAAATTCATCCAGAAAGGTAAACAAAAACAACAAAAAAATAGAATAAATAAAAAATAATATAAAATGGAATTATAAAATAAAATTGACCTACAAAAAAAATCTTGATTTAAGTAAATTGCGACTTGATTCAAGTACTTTTCCCACTCGATTCAGGTAGAAAGACTATGATCCAATCTATCCGAATTTCCGATTAATTTGTTGTATAAAAAAGAATTATTTCATTTTGGAATTACGAACAAATAATGGTTGGGGTTTATTATTGTCTTGAATTTGTATCAAAACTTTACATTTTCCTGAACATCCTTTGCATATGCAATAAATATCTACTATTTTGAACTATCTATTCATTTCAGTAGCGAGCGGTAAAACAATTCATGTCGACGTAGCTTTTAGCTGAGTTTTCGAGGAATATCTCCGAATTTAAAGGAGATAGGGAAATTTTCATAATAACCTTTTCCATGCAGCGAATTGAGATCTATAAAAAAGATTTTAACAAAAATTGCAATATCTGCCTTAGGGTCCGAGATATTCATGGAAAATTGACCAATAGTCGGATTTGACTTGAACCGTTTTACCGCTTTGCTACTGATTTTTTATTCTATAATTTTACAAACCACTTGTGATAAATAAATGTTCCATCACACAGTGAACATGTGAATCCCAGCCAAGTCTTATTTGTTTTTATGCAATAAAAAGTCCAATAATGCTAATCCACGGGCGCCCACTTTGTATGGAAGGTCAATGAGTAGTTCACGTAAGTGATGGTCAGACACGGCCCAAGAAATTTGAGACGAGATAGAAAATGTTGCCGATAACAAAGTGAACCGAATCGC